CCTGGCCAGGAATTGAACTCGGGCTGCAGTGGCTGTGGATAGCTTCATAGTGCTGAGACTTAACCCCCTGCATCACCAAGGAGGCCCCTGTAAACACTCTTTCTGGATGACTAAAAGATCTGAGCTGTGTCTCACCCACAACAGACTCTCAGGAACTTTCTTTGCTTTACCTATTCAGTAGAAAGAATGTTTTCTAGTCTCCTTACCAGCGGAGACATGTGGTAGGGACGTATCTGACCCCCACATTTCAGGAAACCAGCATCAGCTCCGTAGTCTGGCTGATCTGGGAACACAGATCAGCAATGCTGTGTGCTAGCATCAAGCATTCTCTAAGCCTTGACCTTGCTTCCTGTTTCCTTTCTGCAGGTGGCATGGTGCCTTTGGGCAATCAGTGCTTACTGAGTGACTGGCCAGCTTTTCTGGCACTGCATTCCAGCATTCCCCAGAAACACAGGCACCCACACCACAAATCTGAGACTGGACTTTACCCTTTCCTCACCCTCTCTATCCTATAAGTCTCGACTCTGTCATTGTCAGATTCTGACAGTGGCTATTACCTACTTCAGGTCTGTTCTACAAACTATAGCCTGCAAGATTTCTAAAAAGAAAATGTGATAATTGATAACTATTTAAAGACTCCCTACAGTCTAAGGGAAAAATCAAAACTCCTTACCTCCCAACACACAAAAAAATCTAATCCCTGTCCACTAACACCATGTACCAAGGATACCAGTTTCTAATTTTTGAAAAATGTACTCCCTTAACTGTGCCTTCCCTCCTAATACTGTCCTTCCTGCTGGAAGCCCCATCTCCTCTGTGACAGAGGGCACTTTGCGCACTTGGCTGAGGTCTCTATGGTGGCACAACGCACAAGCTGACTTAGGCTGGCTGTTTGAGAGTGTCTCCCCTGGGACCAGACACATGTCCCATTCATTTTGTCCTCAGAGCCCAGCCCAGGGCCTGGCAGTCAGTGGAAGCAGGAAAATGCTTCACTGTGATCATTAGTAATGTATTCTGAGTTCTCTGTGACAATTTTTCCAACTTCTGATGTCATTTGACAGGCTCCCTGAAGTTATATAACTTGCCCAAGATCACACAGGTGGTAAGTGGTGAAACCTGCCTTTCTGCACCTGAGGGCAGTACTCTCCCGCCCTGTGTAGGGAATCACTCTAGTGGTCTCAGGCCCGACCCACCCCTTACCTTGGCGCTGTACTGGTTGAGCTCTCCGCTCTCGTGGCCTGCAATGATGCACTCTCCCAGGGGCCCCCAAACAGCACTGGTGATCTTGGAGTCATTGCAAGGGATCTTCATGTAGGGCTCGTTGTTGTCTGTATGCACAGCAGGTGTCAGGCCCTGGGCTCTGCAGCCACTCCCTTCCCCTGAACCTTCACCCAAGCCCCAGCCCTCACCAATCTGGCTTGGATCGCGAAGGTCAAAGAAGCTCACAAAGCACTGGTAGCCCATCTGCTTGTCGGTGGAGAACATGATGATGTTGCCCCCAAAGTCAAAGCCACAGGTCCGGACAGCTGAATTGGTCTTCAGTAGGGCCAACTGCTTCCCTAGGATGAGGCGGAGTCTGGGTTACCCCTGCCATCGTCAGTTGGGGGAGGAACACTTCGTACCTGCCAGGCATCAGTTCTATTCTCCTACTAATAACCTCTACCCACCACCATCCTCTTCCTCTGTGCTTTGGGTCATGTCTTGTAACATCTTCCCCATAGCCCCTCCTCAGATATCCCACTAACAAGGCATGGTTCCAGTAGACAGCAATCTGTCTTCCCCTCAGAATGCGCCCTTCACAGCAAAGACTGCAAGAATTTCTGTGTCCCCAGTGCCCAGCAAATATTTACTGAAGAGAACAGCTTAACAGACCCCCTGTCTTCAGCTGCAGCACCGTTAAGGGTCCCCACTGCTACCTGAGATTGCTAACACAAAACTCTAAACACTAAACACAGACCATCACTCTGCCAGCCTCACGGCCCTCTGCAGCAGACCAACCCCACAGCACGCTGAGTCCTTCAGAACAAAACTAGGCCTCTGGTTTTGGCACTCAAAGCCTGTTCTGGTCCTAGCCTGCCTCATCTTCTCCACTGTCTGTTTCATTCTCCACGAAGCAGGAACTCCCTCCAGATCAGATGACTTGGACGTGACACTTGTTGTGCTTTCATTCCTGAATGGGCCAAAGCAGTGACCTCTTTCTCATCCTTTAACCCCCAGCTCATATGACATTTATCTTGGGAAATCTTCCTGGGCTGCTGTCTCCACTCCAGAAAACTAGATGCCCCCCCTTCCTGGCCTTCCATGGTATTCTATGCTTTCTGTAACATGCTTTACGGCTTACTGTCATGCCTCTTTTCTGATTTCTTTCCTATTTTCTTCTGTCTCTTGTTTCTTGCACCAGGAAACATCTTTGGATTTATCTAACTCCGTAAAATCTGTTCACTTCAACAGTATACTATAGGCCCTCAGTGTTTGCTGGAAAAAGTGAATACTCAGGCTTACCTGTTTCACAGTCCCACAGACGACAGCTGTTGTCAGCTGAGCCGGTAAGGACATGTTTGGTGTCCCCTGAAGAGTGTTAAGAAACATGACCAAGGGCCTCCCTGGTGGCGCAAGGGGTTGAGCACAGCGCTGTGAAGCTTTCCGCAGCCTCTGCAGTGCAAGTTCGATCCCTGGCAGGGGAGCTACTCACATGGCACAGCAGACCTCTCCTAACTCACCCGCTGCTCCCCTCACCAGTGTATTTCAGTCAGTCTGCCTGTTCCGTTTCCCACTTTGTCTCCAGTGAGTCCTCTCACCTCCTACACCTCTGGCCTGTACCCCAGTTATTGTAATCATAAACAAATAAATCTTTAAAAAAAAAAAGGCATATATAAATAGTAGACTACCATTCAACTATAAGAAAAGATGAAATTTTGCTATTAAAAAAAAGAAAGAAACATGACTGAGTTCACCTGAGCCCTTGTCTTCTTGGGAGCCCAATGGAACCACCGCCCTGGTCAGCTCCAAGAAACCTTTCTTCCTCTCTTGCCCCAGAACTTCCTAACCCCTTCATACAGGAACTTGTCCTGAAGATTCCCCTACCAGTGAATGGGTTGGGGAGCAATTAAGTATATTCTCAAGACCCACAAACACTTCAAATTCCCAACCTCCAACTCAGCAGCCTCTCCAATGCTGGCAGATCCCAACAGCTGAGACTATGAGGAAAAACAAGGATACAGTCGGCGTCTACACACCACACAGCTCCAGTATGGCCCATGTAGGTGCCCAGCCTCTCGCCATTCACAGAGTACCACACATTGACGATCTAGAAGAGTTAATGAAAACGTGACAGAATGGCACACATCCCAGCAGAGCAGTGGCTGCCTAATTTACCCTCAGTAGGCTTTAGCCAAGCCAGATTCTGCCCTCTCCTGCCCATCTCAGGAAACAGCAGGTTAGTGAGAAGACCAAATCCTAGTTTTTCCTCCTCCCTGCAGGAAAGTAACAGAGCACTTGTTAAAGTGTTTCCATTTGCCTCTGTGCCATCCCTAAAAAGAATAAAATATCAGGGCTTTCCTGATGGCACAAGTTCAAAACCTGGCCAGGGAGGTGACCCAGGTGGCGCAGCAGACCTCTCCTGTCTCCCCCACTACTCCCTTCAGCAGTGCATTTCAGTCAATCCACCTGTTCTGCTCCCCACTCTGTCTCTGGTGAATCCGCTCACCCCCACATCTCTGGCCTGTACCCCAGTTCTTGTATGTATAAATCTTTTTTTAAAAAAAGAATAAAATATCAAAACGTGCCTGTGTAAAAAAACAGCAGCTTTAGTACAGTGGAGGCAGTGGTAGAAGGGAAGCCTGGTTCCAGTCCCTGCTCTGTACCATCTCACTGTATTATCTCAAAGACACTGCTTCTCCTCTCTGAACTGCAGTTTTCCCAACTGTAAAACAGCCGTGACAATAATGCCGTCTTCAAGGGGTAGCTGTGAGCTCCAATAAGATGATATGTAAAGAATTTAAAATATAAGTGAGTAACATTAATGAGGCATTTCTGTGGCCCAGGTGCTGTACTAAACACCTTATATGGATGATCCTGTTTAACCATAAAGACAAACCCATGAGGGAAGTACTATTAGCAGTCATATTTTATAAAAATACAAGTTAGAAAGGTGAATTGATATGCTCAAGTCACGCTGCCAGTAGATGCAGGAGTCAGAATTTAAATCAGGTTTGTTTGGTTTCAGAGCTCCTGCTTTTAACCACTGAAGTTAATTTCCTCCTTATGGAAGAGGGGCTGTCACTGAGTGGCAGGTGGGGCCCAGAAGCACAGACTGAAATGAGACCAGGGACACCTTCATGAAGTCCTCTGTGTTCCATGCTGCTCATGGATCTGCTTTCCCTCCTAAAGATGTTCTGTCCCCCTGTCGTGGTATAAAAAGTCTTCCCAGGAATGGTCTCCCGTCCCTTGGACGAGCCGACCCTTGTCCCCGCCACCCTTCCACAATGCTTTTCTTTCTGGCTACTCTCTCCTACCAGCTGGGTCCTTACCCACCTTTTCTGGCAGAAGGTTCTCGCCCACCTACCCCGAGGAAGGCCTCTCTCTACTTCTCTTGGCTCCCCTCTGAGGGCAAAACTGGCTTGTCCACCCACTCACTGCCCTGGCAAAACGAAGTCGCCCTTCACCCGGGCCCCGCCCGCCGGCCCACCAGCCAGCCCCCCGCCCCCGCCAGCCCCCCAGCCCCCGCCGAGGCTCACAGGGTCCTTGGCCACGGTGAAGAGGAGGTCGCCCTCGCGGTTGTACTTAATCTGCGTTATGGACCGCTCGTGGCCCTGCAGCAGGATCGGCTTCTGCGGGGACAAGACCAGCGTGTCAGAGCCCAGAAGCGGCCCGCGCCCCACCCAGGACCCCCAACTACGGGGAACTCACCATCCCGGCGGAGAAGCAAGGAGGCGGCAACGTGACGGGACCGGAAGAGGCTTGGAACCACTTCCGGATTATGGATCCCGCCCCCTCGTCGCTCCCGGAAGTAGAAGGAAGCGGCGTTGCCATGGCGGCGTCCCTCGGTGGGTAGGCGGCCCCGCCCCTGACGGGCTTCCCGACCCCCGGCCGCATTTCATTCCCTCTCCACCTACACCACCTGGAGCGGCCGCTGGGCCAACCCCAAACCCGGCTTCATCTCCCCGCCTCCCGCGGTGTGCGCGACCCACTAGTCACACAGGGGCGTCGAGAGCGGAGGCGGGTGGGGAGGGCGGCTAGCTGAGGATGGGAGTCCTGGGGAGGAAGCAGCCGGGAGGGGAGAAGGCTGGGCCCGCGGGTGGCCGTTTGTGGGGTGGGGAAGGGTCACTCGCATCTCCATCCAGGGCAGGTGCTGGCTCTGGTGCTGGTGGCGGCTTTGTGGGGTGGCACACAGCCGCTGCTGAAGCGCGCCTCCTCAGGCCTGCAGCAGGTTCATGAGCGGACCTGGGCCCGGCAGCTGCTGCAGGAGATGAAGACCCTCTTCTTGAATACTGAGGTGCGTCCGTGAATGGCCCCTGGAGTCAAGTAGATCTGGGTCAGAATCTGGGCCCCGCCACTTACTCCCTAGAAACTTAGACCAGCCACTTGTCCTTCTGGAGCCTCAGTTTCATCATCTGTAAAATGGGAATAACAGTAACCATTTTTAGGGCATTGGAGCCACTTCGAGGATACAGTGAGGTGAAGCACATAAAGCACTTATCACTGGGCCTACTGCACCATTAGTGCTCGATGACTGCTATGGTTATCATGTTCCTCCCAACAGACCTTCCCAGAGGGAAACTTGGGATTCAAACTGGCCCTGGGGAGGGAGGATTAAGAAGGATATAGAGAATTATCTCTGATCCCAACGCTACCAGTCTGGTGGGAAAAACAAGACAAGTCATAACCATCCCTCAGGCCTAAGGGCTACAAAAGAAGCAGAGCTAAAGTGCTGCACTTAGGGGTCTGGGGTGGGGGTAAGTAAGATAGAAACTAGCAGGGTTGAGGGAGAGACATTCAGGGCAAAGCATGGAGTTCAGTTTTCCCTCTGCTCTGGAAAGGTTCTTTCCAGAAAGCTTGGTATCCCCTGGCCCTCAGAGCTGCTCTTCCCTACAAGGAGAGGCATATCTAGAAGCTTGGAGAAGGCAGCGCTGCGCAGTCAGGCAATCACACTGACTGCAGATTTCTTTTGTTTCCAGTACCTGATGCCCTTTTTCCTCAACCAGTGTGGCTCCCTTCTTTACTACCTCACCTTGGCATCAACAGGTGGGTCTCTGGCTTGAAACTGCCATGGTTGGGGATGGAGGCCTCCTGGAAGAGTCTTTTTGGCGAGAGAGCCTGAAACACCTTGTCCTATGAGTTCCTATGAGGGACAGTCCATTTTCTCTGGTTCCCTCTTTGCTGGTTGGTAGGAGCTGCCAGGGCTGGCCTGAAGGCAGGCTGTCTTGTGCAGCAGCAGAAGGAAGAAAGTTCTTTGTGCTGCGCCAAGGGACTGGCTTGGACAATCCTTTTCACTACGTGCTACCCACCTGACCTTGAAGAAGTTCCTTACTTGAGTCTTGGTTGGAGATAATGGGGTTCACAGCATTGTGAGGATTAAATTAAGTGTATGAGAAGCATCTAGCTGATGACCTGGCGTGCTCTGTAGTTGTTCAGCAAATATAAACTTCCTTTCCTCCATGTTTGCTGACTGCCCTCTCCAGTAGCAGATACCGTGCTAGCTTTACAAAATGTATTCCATTCCTCTCATGACCCTGTGAAGCAGATGTGATATCCCCACTTAGGAGGTGAGGTGACAGAATTTTGGGCAACTTGTGTCACTTAAGTCCAACTCCATGTCAGTGTAGAAGGATTTGGTTTTTATTTTTAAAGATTTATTTTTATTTATTTCTGCACACAAGAGCTGGGGTGTAGGCCAGAGGTGTGAGGAGTAAGAGGATTCACCAGAGTGGGGAGCAAAACAGGCTGATCTACTGAAATACACTGCTGAGGGGAGCAGCTGGTGAGACAGGAGAGATCTGGTGCTCCATGTGGGGTTAGCACCCTGGCTGACTGGGAATCAAACTCATGCTGCAGTGGCTGGTATAGCTTGATAGCGCTGAGACTTTAACCCCTACACCATCAGGGAGGCCCCAGTGCAGAAGGATTTGAAGCCTTTATTCCTGAGTTTATGCTCTAACCTCCCTGCTGTGATTTCACTCTTCTGGGTCTTACTTGAAGCCCCCAAGGGACTTGAGGGGAGTTTGGACCCCAAATTACTCTGGGGAGCCCCTCAGAGGTTATAGGGAGGCAAAGGGATAAGCCGACCTCCAGACCTGCTGCCTTGGTGTCCACTTGAGTCCATTTCCATCTGTTTTCCATGTTGGGCTTCTCTTAAGACTCCGTTTAAGAGAAAGTTTGCAAGCCTCTGCACTTCTTGTTGCCCAAGTTGCTGAGCCCTCTGCCCAGCTGACCACAGTTACCCACTTTGAACAAACTGAGATAAATCCTGTTATCACCCACTCTGCCTCTGTCACTTACCACCCGGCCATTATAATAATCAGAACAGTAGTCACTGTTCATTCAGCATCTGCTTCAGCCGGGAACTATCATGCTTTGTCATAGTTTATCTTACAGCGACCCTGAAATTGTGTTATCTTGCTGTTACTGTTTTACCCATGAGCACAGGCTGAGTCTCAGCCACCTAGCCAGAATCACGTAGGGAATCTGCTTTATCCCGTGCCCTTGCTGTTACACCATGCTGCTTCCTACTATGCACCTACTATGGAAAGCTTAAGGAAGCTTACTGAATAAGTTTCTCAGATAGGTGGCACCAGCCATGGTGGACCCTCACAGGGGATAAGGAGCAAGACGTTCTCTCCTCTCCTGAAGCAGATAAGGCCTGGGAGTGCTAAGAATGTGGTGAGGAGTCAATATGAACATCCTGGTCTGCCTGGCAGTAGGAGTCTTGTAAGCAAGTAACTCAACTTCTCATTTATCCATTAGTAGTGTTATTTTTTTTGCATGTGTGTAGCAAGCTTACATGAGATCTATCCTCTTAGCAAATTTTAAGTGTCCTAAGTTTAAGTGTAATAAATTTTAAGTTAACAGTATTGTTAACTTCATTAGTCCTTTTTCCCCGTTTATTGGGTGTCAGTCCTGGGTGTTTCAAAGCTAAGGAACAGATGCTGGACTACAATAACTTCTACTTAATGCCAGCCCCAGGGGCCCTGTCCCTAATGGGCACCTGGCCTCCCAATTCCCATATTCCCCCTTTTCTCCTTTATCTCCCGAAGCCTGGAGTCTGAACTGAAACAAAAACAAAATGTACTTTACCTGCTGTTTTGGTTTGTCCATATCCACTTAGTTCAGTAAAGGCACAGGTTTTGGAGTCAGGCTGCCCTCCTCAATTTGCTTCAATTTATGTGACTTCTTTGAGGCTTTGTTTCCTTTATCTGTGCAAGATGATGATAATGCTCCCCATGCAGTGAAGATAAAATGAGATGTACAGAAAGCATCGAGCACATAGTGTGTGCTTAATGACGTGTTCATGCGCTCATTCTACTGCATCCTTTGGGCTTGGGGCGCCTGTCTGTCAAGGTCTTGTTGGAATCTCGGGAGCTCTCTTGCAGTGCGGATACCAAATCCTTATCAGCAATCCAAGGTGGTCCCAGACTTTGTATTTTAGATCTTTGTTCTGCACTCTGGCAACACGGAATTTGGAGTTGGGAGACCTAGGTTTGAATCCTGAACATGACTGTGACTTCATTTGGAAAATGGGACCACATGATATTTTTTTTTTTTTTAAGATTTATTTTATTTATTTATTTATATATACAAGCACTGGGTACAGTCAGAAGCGCAGGAGGGTGAGAGAATTCACCAGAGCCAGAGCAGGGAGCAGAGCAGGCAGAAGGACCGAAGTACACTGCTGAGGGGAACAGCGGGTGGCAGGAGAGGTCTGCGCGCCATGTGGGACCCTCCTCTGGTGGCCAGGGAGCAGCCGGGGATCGAACCGGCGCTGCAGAGGCTGCGGGCAGCTTTGCAACCCAGCGCTCAACCGCTGCGCCACTGGGGAGGCCCACGTGATATCTTTTTAAAAGGGATTTTCGGATGACAAAATGAAAGTGCCTTAAACGCATTTTTTTACATCTCAGAGATTCTCTTCACTCTGATCACTCAGATCTGACGCTGGCTGTGCCCATCAGTAACTCTCTGGCCATCGTCTTTACTCTGATCGTGGGGAAGGTCCTTGGAGAAGATATTGGTGGAAAACGTAAGTCAGGCCATTGCTGTCGGGGAAGCAGCTTCTTGGGCTTTGACACACCTGGTTCTCACCCAAAGCCATTTCCCGTGGGCGGGTGAGGCGCGGCCCCTTTCCCCTGCAGCTCTTCCACTTCCTTGCGGCCATCTGAGTTTCCTTCCTCTGGACTGACCAATCCCATTTGAGGCTTTTCCTCAGCCCTCCGCCAGCTTCCCTGGCATGGCTGAGTGCATAGCCCCTCAATTTCTACCCATTCTCCCAGGAGCATTTGCAGGCATGGTGCTCACCGTGACTGGAATTACACTCTGCATCATAAGCTCAGCGAGCAAGACCCAGGGGCACCTTTGAATGGGACGGCGCCACCCTCCACTCTGCTGTCTCCAGGAGTCCCTGGGCCACGAGGTGCAGGCAGATGACCTAGCACTTCTCCCCTGTAAGCCTCAGCTTCATCCCTGATGGGGATACTGGCTACCTCATGGATGGAAATAAGAGAACAAGAGTAAAAGGGTTTTATAACTTTCAAGTGCTGTTCGACAGCCAGGATTTAGCACAACAGACAAGACTTTGCACTCACCCTTAGCAACCCTTCTGCCCCAGCAGCTCTCTTCCTGCCGCCATATCAGGCGCCCAGCATAGCCACTGTTTACTGTGATCTGGACCATCACAGCAACAGGGGGATGAACTGCTGAACTCCAGCCGGCTGCAGCCTCTGAGCCAGAAATGTAAACAGGAGGCCTGCAGGACTCCGTCAGAGAGCCTTGGCTGGCTGGGGGTGGGTTGGGGAGAGATGCTGGTGGACCTGGGGGAACGGCAGAGACAGGGAGCTAAGCTGTCCATAGCTTTGCTTGTTCTACCCATGAGGCCGGTGGACATTCCCCAATGGCCCGCCCCTCAAACAGAGAAGAGATACTTGTGAGCCACCGCACTGTCTGACTCTAGCACATGGTGCAACGCCTGGCGAGTGAAAGCCTGTAATAAATCGGCAGCAAACAGATGGAGGTTGGTAAGTTTTCTTTTATTGTGATAGACCCGCTCCCAACTTGTGCTCTCCTGCCCAAGCTGGCTGATCCTTTCTCTGGCCAGGGAGCCCCATAGGAAATGGCCTCTGCAGGAGGGCTACTCTGCTCAGAGAGGAAAAGACTGGGCTGTGGGTTTAAGAGCAGAGTGGGGAAGGGCTGAGCAGGCTGCAGTGTACACTATGAACCCAGGGAGGTGCTGGTTCATCCCAAACAGGCTTCTGGAAGCTGCAGGGTGGCTGTCCCCAGGTCTTGGCTGGAGCTGCTGGCTTTCAAGAGGATGGGGTTGGGGCTGCAGCTGAGAGAGCTGCCCCAGCCTCAGGCTGGTTTTCTGGCACCAGGGCCTCTTCCACTGTCTGTGCTGCCCTCTGGAGGCAGAATGGAGCCTTTATTTAGCATCCCATGTCCAGGCTCCAGCCCACAGCCTCGTGGTCCCCACCCAGGATAGAAGAGACTTTAGCAACTAGGACCTGCCCTCTCATATAAAGGGTAGGAAGTCAAAAGGAGTAAGACAGAAACACACACAGCCACCAAATGTGGGAAGTTGGTGTCTGAGGAGAGACGGTCTCAGTGTCAAGGGGCAGAACTGTTTCTGGTGCCCAGAGCTCCAGTTTCCAGCTCAGGACCAGTCCCAGCATACTGCTTCCGCCACAGCCCACCTGATCCAAGGGCTCCTCTGTCCTAGTGTCTTCATCTTCTGCTACTTCTGGTGCCCCTGCCGTCTCCCTCCTTGGGTGGGGTGCACCGTATACTCCCCTGACTGCGGATGAGGAAGGCAGTGCTGGCTGATGCCCAGGCTCAGGCACCCTTAGCATTCTCTACCTTGACCCTCCCCCTCCAGCCCCTGAAGCTTGCTTCACGCTGCTCACTACCTCAAGCCAGGCCTTTCACTCCCAACCCGTCCCTTCCAAATCCCACCCCTGAAGACTCATTGCTTTGCGTCTCCAAGTGCTGCTTCTCATAACATCAAGTCCCTGTGAAGAGATTTGGGACTGGCTCTGCACGTAGGGGAGTAGGAGGCAGACGTGCTGAGGTCAGAGCCAGCTGCTCTTGGGCATTCTACCCGCTGGGCCTCCCCCAGAACAGCAGGGCCCATCTTGTGTTGCTGTCAGAGGGTAGCTGAGAAGAGCCTGGGTCCCCAGGACGCCTCACCTGATGAAAATGAGAGAGTGGGAAGCTGGCTTTTTGGCTGACTGGCCTTCTGGGGTCTGGCATAGAAAGCAGATGACTCGGTTGGTCTTGGTTCCTTCAGGGAGGGCTGGCTTGCCTTTGGCTTGGGCTTGTGGGCTTGTAGAGGGATTGGGCTGTGGGTGTTGATTATTCTGATCTTCTCTACTCCCAGACCAGGCTTGAGTGCCCCTGGTGCCTGTGGGAGACCAGGAGGGGTGCCGTCCATCTTCATAACCTGCATCCCCCCTCCCTGCCCTGTTTCCATCAGGCTGCCGTGGCCATGGACTAAGCAACTGATGCCTGGCACTCAAGGGGCCCAGTGTAATCAGGCAGTGTCCCCTAACCCCCCACCAATGCTCACTGGCTCATTTCTTGAGAGGGCTCAGATCTGGGGTTAAAAGGGGCGCTGATGAGCTCCTTTAGGCTCTGCTATGCCAGAATATGCCATGTCTCTCTCCCAGCATCCAACCTGGCATAGAGCGTGGATGAGCCAGCCTTCAGGCCAGGCTCTGGTCTGGGCCCTGCCATTCAACAGGTGTGTCACCCTGAACAGATTACTTCACTCCTTTGACCTTCAGTCTCTCCTCTGGAAAATGGAATAATAATTTCTGCTTCACAAGCTTATTGAGAGGCTAGAGTGAGATAAAGTCAGAGCCTATGCTGCAGGCGGAGTCAGCTGATCACCCTCCTCCCACCCCAAGGGCCTCCTCCTCACTTACCCCCTGCTTATAGGGCCTAGACTTCAGATCTGGGGGATACCTGCCATGAAAAAAGAAAAGGCTTGCAGCAGGCAGGAGGACAGGGCTTAGGGCGGCTTCCTCCGCTGACCTGCTATTTCTCCACCTCGCACGCACGTACCAGCACCCCCCGGGCGGTGAGGGGCTGGGCACCAGCAGCTCCAGGTAGGGGAGGGCCTTGAACTCGTCCTCTCCAACAGCCACATAGTACTGGCCGCTCACCAGTGCCTCCCCTGCTGACAGTGGGAGCCCTTCCATGGTGCAGAGCCTGAGAGAGGAGGAAATAAGGACCAGTGGGCAAGATGCCTGCTCATATTCAGTGGACTATAAGGGGCGGGCACAGCTATTCCAAGGTGTCCTCCTGGTCCCAGGGTCAATCACCCAGGCTCCGCCCTACCTGCGAGGGTTGGGCTTGGAGGCCTCTCCTGTGGCATGGCAGGAAGTCCCATGCGGGGAAACATGCTTTCCTTTTGCCTTTTAATCCTCTGGAACAGCTTAAACTAGTGAGGGGTACGCTGGGGGACTTTGGGCCTCCCAGTCACCATACTCACTTGCACACAGCCCCGCTCTTCAACTTGGCCTTCTCTGTCAGGAGCTTCAACACCGTTTCCCAGTCTTTACTGGCAACCTGGGACAACTTCAGGCTAAATGGGGGACTTGATAGGTCCCCATTCCTGAACACACTGGGACAAAGAGCAGCCTGGTAAGGTGGATGGTCCCTAGGACTGTGTGTGAGAGGAACAGGCTGGCACAGGGGGCCCATTCTTGCCCACCAAGCATCTTGGACTTCTCTGCCCCCACCACTGACTAGAGGGTCCTGGAAAAAAACCACCCCCATTTTCTTGGTCTCACTGAATCAAATATTTCTGCCCCTCCTCCCCAACATCAGCACTCACTGGATATGGCAGGGAGAACCTGCAGGTAGCTGCCATCCAAGGTCCCCATCACACTGGTGGTGAGTCACAGGAGGACCCTAAAATCCAAGTCAGGGCCCCAAATCAGGAGTTGAGGCCTGATTTGGGTTGTCAGTCCCAGGTGGGGAGGGAAAGAACCAGTGTCACAGGAGAGGGAGCAGGAGGTATGGGCTAGTCACACCCTCCACCAGAGGGTTCTCTGCCTCCCCTAAGTCACATTCTAACCCATCCCCTGCCCCCTTGTGTGTTTGCAGCATCTTTCCTTTGACAGCCACCTTATCCTGGAGATAAAATTAAAAGCTGGGAAAGGAGCAAGGGACAGTGTCTTGAAATCCTGCACCCCAGCAAGGAGCGGGTGTGGAGGAACCCTGTGGAACTGGCAGATCCTGCTGTCTCAGGGCCAAACTTCCCAGACCAAATCAGGGCAATCCCAGGGGGGTGGGGAGACAAGGCTGGGGGCCAGCCTGCACCAGGACTCACTGGCGGTCTGCTGCGCTCTCCTCCGGGGTCCTTCCCTCCAGGGGGCAAGTAGCTGAAAGGACAGACAGGCTACAGGTCATCTTGGGGAGCCTGGGCCTCAACAGCCCAGTATCAGCCAGGACCCCCTTCCCGTTGGAACATTCTCAGGTATCTCAGCCCAGAAACAGAAGAGGCATTGAACCTCCCTTAGGGCCTGGGTCAGGCTGAACATTCAGACTGGTCCCACGGATACAAACCACACAAATTAAAAGAAATCAGTTCACTAAGCACTCTACTGTGTCCCAGGAATTTCCTCATTCAGGAGGTAGGTGGTTTTATCTTCTTTTGCATGACTCATCTAAGGTAACACAGAAGTGACAGAGCCCAGATTTGAAGCCTCTCTAGCTCCTGACCCCTTGCTCCTTAAGTGAGATGAGTAACCTCAGCCTTGAGCTGAGCAGGACTTAGAAGCCAGCTGAGCTGAAAGTTCAGCTTCGCCTCCCACCACAGCCCAGTCCTCAGAGGGGAACAGAATGCCTCCGCGCAGCTGGAGGAGGTGGAGGGTGGCGTTAGAGTGCCTGGTGGTAGGGCTCAAGCAGAGTGTTTGGATGAAGGGGCTTAACCGGTTCACATAGGCTGGTCCTGGCTCATAGGGGCTTAAGCATCAGTGTCAGGCTTGGACTTTCACTGCGGCGCCACCGTGTCTACTTGTGTATTCTTCGCAGGTTACTTCACTGTCTAGTTTCCTCTAAAGACACAGGAAAGATCACCCCCTTCACGGGGCCGCCGTCTCCCATGAGCAAAGTGTAACCTGCCTGTATGTGGACAGTCAGCACTGCGCCGGCGCTGTTGCCACCAGAGGGTTCTCTGCCTCCCCACCTTCCTCTCTAGGTCCTGCTACCAACCCCCATCCACTTACTAGAGCTTGCGGAACGGTTCGAAGCCAGCAGCCACATACTGTCCCCCGTTCTGCAGGTCTGCCAGGTCAGTGACACGGTGGCCATGACGGGGCGTGTAGAGGGCACGCACAGCCAGCGGGGCCTGCACTGCTGCTGTCACCTCACAGAGGAAGGTCTCCAGGGTGGGGAAGCGGCGTTGAGTCACCACCAGCTGGCGGCCGGGGGAGAAAGGGTCCCCATTCCGGTAAACCACCACCCTCTTAGCCACTGGACTGCCACCTGCCATACTGTGTCCTCTCTAGAGACGCAGAGCTGTTGCCAAGCAACTAAGGCAGGGCCGGGAACAGTGCCAATCCGAGGTCCATTCTGTCCTCTTACTGAGGAAGGCAGGGAGAGCCTCTGGCAAGAGCCAAGGTCCTCAAGGACCTCATGAGAGTAGGGCAGGTGTGATCCTGGGGCGCGGGAGAGGCAGCGACAGAGATCACACTGAAACACGGGTGTTCCAGTACTAGAGGGAGGGGCTCTCGGTCTCCTGCCACTCTGTAGCCCAAAGGCTGAGTTCAAAGGAGGATTAGCTTCAGGGGATGTTCCCAAGGAGAATGGCTAGTCTCCTTTTGTGTGGCTCCCAGTCAAGAGGAAGGCCCAGAGTCTGTCCTGACCAGAGGTGGAAATGAATGCAATCAGGCTCAGAGTCCAAGAAAACCTTTATTCTCCCCCAGGCTCTCCACTCATTGCCCTTTCATAGCATCTCCCTTTGGCACCTGGTCTTCCTCTGGCTCTCAGGGTCTAGCCCGGCGGTCCTGTTTTCCACAGCCTGCCCCTCCAGTGGTCCTCGCCTGTGTGGTCTGACCCTGGTGAAGATGGTTTCTCAGGTGACCTTGAGATCCATGGTCTAATCCTCTGTTGTTCCCACACTTCATGGCTAGGGCCACTGGAGCTTCTATCTTTGGAACTTTTATCACTAGGGGCCTGGCCCTTGGGTGGTTTAGTCCTCCAGCAACCCAGATCACCATGCTCTGGCCCTGCCAAAGTCCCATCCCAATGGTCCTTTGAGAAGCCCAACTCCCGTGGCCTAGCTCTTTGGCAATCAGGCTCTTTGTAGTTTGACCCTTCAGATTTGTCCTTAACATCTGGGTCCTCACAGAGTACAGGTGGCTTTGTCCTGCCTTTTCCAGGACAGAAGTCTTTGGAGGACTGGTCCTCCAGGAGTTCTGTCAGTTGCAAACAACTCCCTCCCAAGAGCAGTTTGCCACCATCTGGCTCTTTTGTGAGCTTGTTCTCTGTGGCTGGATTTTCTGATAGTGTGGGCTGCCGTGGTCCAGAACTCTTGTGGCACAGGTCCTTGTATTTGGTCCCAGCAGTGGTTTTGCCTGTAGTAGCAAGTCTTTCTGGGGTTTCATGGGGTTGTGAGTTGAGTCTCCAGCAAGAGTCACTGGCATAGTCTGGCTTTCCAGTGGTGCTGTCTCTGAAGAAGTGGTCTTCCAGGGATAGACTTGGTTGTGACCTCGCTCTCTCATAGGCCTGGCCTGCTTCTGGGGATCCCAGTGTTTCTTTGAGAAGTAAGTACTGTTGGGGGAAGAGAAGAAACACTGTACCCAGAAGGCTGGCTTGACTATGGCAGAAAGCTTTTCTTTAACCCCTCCTTTTTGGCCCTCAAAGTGCAGAAAGCACTCCAAACTAGGGCCTCCCTGGTGGCACAAGGGGTTAAGATACAGCACTATAAAGCTATCTATCGGCAGCCACTGCAGTACGAGTTTGATCTGTGGCCGGCCAGGGAGATACCCACATGGCACAGAAGACCTCTTCTGTCTTGTGTGCTGCTCTCCTCAGCAGTGTATTTCAGTCAATCCGCCTGTTCTGCTCCCCACACTGTCTCTGGCTAGTGCCTACCTCCTTACGGCTATTGATGGCCTGTTGTAGCCACAGCAGTTCCATGGCCAAGTGACTGCAGTGATACTGGAGCTCCTGGAGCTGAGTCTGGTTATGGGGCAGCCTTGGCCCTGCAGCTTCTGTGAAGGAGGGAGAAAAGAAGGGAGAAAAGCTTTGAGGGGTAGACAAGAGGGCACTGGCCTAGCATTAGACACTGGCACCTCCCCCTGCCCCCAACCAGGCAGAAGAAAAAAGATAGTTTATCTAGCACAAACTTTCACACTCAGATGGGAAAGCTGAGGGTCAGAGGCTTGCCCTGATCTAGGCAGAGAGTTACCTGGGTTGTCCATCCTTGAGGGATTCTGGAATTTTCTGCTCTGCTCATCTTGAAGCCAGGGGTTGTCATCTCTGCAGAGACTTTCTGAGTTTGCTGAACCCTCTCCTGACTTCTTCACCTTCTCTAAGACAGTCTCTTTCTCAGGATTTTCACACAGGAGGTGACTCCATTGTTTCTGCTCTGGATTTGGCACCCTCTCTCCAGCTTGCCAGGTTGAATGGGATGTTGCCTTTTGAGAAATGAGACGTGTATGAGAGGCCTAGGACTAAAACCTCCCAAGTATGTGGACAACATAATTTAGCAAATTGGTGAGGGTTAAGGATTGGGGTGTGAGATGAATCTTGTGACACTTCCAGTGAGGAAAAATTTGCCAGCAGAAGGATGGGTTTTACTGTTTCCACGAGTCACCTGCCCAGGTCCTTCCTCGCCCTCCTCCCCTTGGGGTGTGTACTACCTGCGAGGGAAATCCGGGCCTGGGAATCCAACCCTCAGTCCACTGGAGTGTGCCCAGATCACCCTCGATCTCTTGTACAACAGCCTCATATTCAGCTCGCAGACTCTGGAACTGGCGTCGGACCAAGAAGCCTCGTATGCAGGCCTGGTGTAGAGAACCAGGGGAAAGAAAACCTTTTCTCACTCCCCAAAGCGGGAGCATCTTGGGGGCGGGGGGTTCTCCAGAAGCGGTCATCCCAGAGAAGACCCGCCACGGGGAAGGGGCTGGGTGCCGCTGTGCCCTGGGCTCCGGGGAGTCGAGGGAGCACGCCGGGCTGGATACTGTTCTGGTGGGAGTGGGGGCGCGCGGGGAAGTCCGTGGGCCCCGGCACGCTTCAGGGCCGTGGGGTGGGCACAAGGTAGGTGACTAAACATGACAGCCCCTCTCGCTCAAAGGCCCCAGATCGAGCACCCGCGGGGCGGGTAAGTCATGTACACCCCCACCCGCTCCGCACCTGCAGCGCCGACACCTTCCGAACCAAGCGCTCGCGCTCCATCCGGGCGCCAACTGCCCGCTGGCGCCTGCGCAGTGCGTCACTAGTCCGCGCCGCGCAGGCCCCGCCCCCGCCCCCGCCGTCTCCAGAGCAACCTTCGGGTCTCGCGCCCGCCGCTCCCCGCCGGCCCGCGCCGCGCCTGCCGCTCCCGCCCTCGGGGCCGCGGGCGGACCAGCGCCCCGGAGCCGGCCTCCTAAACACCAGTGCCGCGCAGGGTGTCTTCGCGGAGGCGTGGGCGCCCTCGGCAAGTTAGGACGCAGTCAGGGGAGGGAAGACACGGAGCCACTATCTTTGTTTCTGGTTTTATTCCATCAGGGCGCCCCCCTCCCCATAGCACCTGGGGGGCGCGGATGACCGTCGAGTCCGTAAAAAATCACAGTTTGAAGGAATAAAGGCAGTCTGGGCCTCGTCCAAGACCTACGCGGCTGACTGCTCCTCAGGCTCGGCGTTCTCGGCCAGGTGCAGCTTCTGTCTGTGCCAGTCAAGGATTGCGAGGGATCTCCAGCCCCGGCTTCCCATCCAACACAGACTCAGTTTCCCCACCTGCACAGAGGGGCCTGAGGTTGCATCCTCCGCTGCTGCTACGCGGTGCTTTACTCCTCCCTCGCCTCTCCTCCCTCCCGCTGTGGGTGCCTGCACTCGGCTTAGGTTGGTAACTGCCGGTGCTGAAGGAATAGGGAGAAAGCAAAGGAGCTTGGGCATGGATTGGTGTCAGCGAAAGTGCGTGCAGAGAATTTGATGAGCAGGTAAAACATTCCCCTCAACCGCCTGTCTCCTCATATTTGGAGGATTCTGCACTCCTCTACCTGGATGGGGGCAGTCTGTGACCAGTTCTGACTCAGTAGGATTAAAAGGGGTGGGGATGTTTTGTTATATGTAATACTCCTGGAGCGTGATAGGAAGTAACTGATCTCATCTTTGTCAGGGGGGAGCACGCTTACACACACACACACACACAGATCCCTTGAAAAGGATACATAGAATTACTAAGATCTTCCAGCTGTTAATAAAAAAAGGTTTCTGTCAGGATAGGCACCAGCCAAAACCCAGACATGATGGGGACCACCTTTTGGGGGGAGTTGAGGGGCCCAGAGCTCTTGGATCCATGCACCCCCACCCACTTTTCGCCCAGGGCCAAGAGTGGCCTTAGAGCATATACCTCCCCCAATGCCTGGTACCCCTAGAAACCAAAGCACAAGGTCTTGACCCACGTTGCTAAGCAGCTGGTCGAGGTTTCGGTCAGCCATTGTCTTCTTCTGTTCCTCAGGCAGCCCTTCGGCGACCCCATCTTCTTCCTCCTCTTCCTCCTCCTCCCCACACACATCCAGGCTGAAGTGCAGCCGGGCCAGCTTCTCCTGCATCTCCCGCACATGCTCCAACTGCTCGAAGGAGCATTCTTTTCCTGGACAGCAGCTGTCTGAGTGCTGGGAGCGAACTTGGGACCCTAGCCCCAGCTAGCTCCCAACACCAGGCCCTCCAGCCTCCTCTACCCATACACTCTCTAAGCCCAGGCCCAGGACTCACCGAAAGCCTGCAGCCGGCCTGAATGGAAATCATTGAGCAGATTCAGCAGTCCGCCCTCCATCTCATACACATCAGTCACCTCGGTCAGGAAGGAGTGCTGCAAGGGAGTGCCTGCCGAGCCTCCCCCTCCTCCAGCCAGCACTGGGCGACACTTCTCCTTGCCTACCCTGGGTGGGGTGGACAGGACTCGGTCACATGTGTGGGGGTGGCCAGGTACCCCCAGATCTTTTGTGCCATCTATCTATCCACTGATTTAGCTTCCTATCCACTCTCCACTATAAATGTTTATTCTTCTGGCCATGAGCACCAGGACGGGAAAAGGGAAGGGAGAGCATGAGGAAGGGTAGAGATAAGAGGGCAAAAGCAGCCTTTTTATGCCAATGACACAGGCAGAGCCATGCCTGAAGGGGCCCTGGGTTCATTCCTCCTGGGACCCTGGGCCAGTCACCTGTCCTGCCTGGTCCTCTGTGAATCTGAGAGCAGTTACTTCCCCACTGCCATGAGCGCCCCCTTACCTCTCCCCAAAATAACTTTCTGCCCCATTTCTATTTAAAAATTGGATTTTCCATTACCCTCAGGATAACTCCCTTCCCAGCCTGGCCCCCCTCCCTCTCCAACTGCACTTCCTACTATTCCTGCCCCAACAAGGAGTTTCAGCTACACCCCACTGTGGCTGTCCACCAGCGTGCCTCTCAGGCAGGTGGAGTGTAGCACGGGGAACCAGTGGCCGGAGGAAGAACATATTTTGTTCTAGTGGGAAACAAAGACATTCTAGGGCAGAATACAAATTCCCAAATGTTTTAAAAAAATAAATAAGCAGGGAATCAAATAGTACACCTGCATATCCCCTTATCCTTTCCTGTCCCCCCTCACTCCAGAGCCACCAAACCACTTGTGGTTCCCAGAACCTTGCTGGCATATTTTTTCTTGCATACCCCCCACTTTCTGGCAGGCAGGGTTGTGGCTTCCTGCTCTGAGGTCATCATCATACGTGTGACCCCAGTGACCCACCTAGCCTTTTCCCACACACTTGAGCATGGCAGGGTCGGAGGCATCAGCTGGGGTCGTCATTAATTATTGCTTAGTAACGAAAGGCTAAGGCTCCTTTGCCTTTCTTCCTGCAGAATTCGGCACAAAGCTGGGAACCCTCCCTTCTTGCCCTGCTTTCTGTACTCACCTCTTGAACTTGGCCCGCTGCTTGGGGGACGGCAGGTGAGGGAGTCCCAGGGCCAAGGAACCACTGTGGCTGGTGGGCACAGGGACCCTGCGTAGTGTTCCTGGGGCCTGGGCTGGCTGAGTGAGGCAAGGCTTGGGGCTCCTTTTCTTCTTCTTGTCCTCCATTGGGTGCTGGTTGGGCCTCAGGTCCTTGCGGGCAGGCAACTCCACTGAGAGAAGAGATGCAAAGGGCAGGCCCTGGGACTTTCTATCAATAACTGCAGAGTGTGAGCAGGGCTGGAAGTCAGTGCCTGTCCCTGGGGTTGTAGATGTTCCTTTGAAGGACCTTCTGCAGCCCACCCGACCTCCCCCCCTATCTTGGTCCTTAGCCTGAAAACCCAGGCCCTGCCTGAAAGGGCTGGAGAAGATATTGTTCAGCTGCTGCTGGGGTTTCCTGTCCTAGGAGCAGAGGGAGTGGAGCTGGCAGAGGAAATGTAGGGGGAGCCAAGCTGAGGATTAGGGGTGTCCAGCACACCCGATTATCAACTGCCTGAGCAGAAGCTGACAAGACACTGTCAGCATGGGAGGCGGCCAAGATATGGGTGAGGGTGCTTGGAAAGACCCCAGTGTCAAGCAGTAACCACCAGAGGATGCAAAACAGAAGCCTGGAATGTGGGGCAGAGCTTAGCATGGATTTCCCCATTTTGACACTGGCATCCCTCCTCTTCCCTCTGCCTCCAACACACACTCTGAACTGCACACTCCCAGGACCCCCAGAAGTTCCCTAGGACAAGTTTCTAGCCGTTTCCCCCTCCCCAGTCAGAAGGAGTGTGCTGGCATCCTCTGCAGCCAGGGCGTGCAGCCGGGTGGGTGGGTGGTCTGGCAGCTGGCTCCAACAATGGCTGTGCCTGAGGCTGGTACAGTTCAGCCTCCACTCAGGCCCCACCCCCTAAGCCTCAGGTCACCGGAGGCGCTCCTTCATGGAGGTCTGGGCTTCCTTACAGGGTTTTCCCAAGCTGCCATCACCAGGCGTGACTATGCTTTGGGATGGTGCTGGTGCTGGGGGCAGACCATTTAAACTGGCTCATGGCTGGCTGGCACCGAGGGGGTATCGTGGCGTGGAGACGACTGCGTCACATGCCTCACCCTACACAGTTTGGCCCAATTAGGGACTTGATTTTAAAAAATGGAGCAGGAGCCCCCGCTCCCCACAAACAGCTGGGGGTGACCTGGAATCTATTTCCCACACTCAGCCTGTAAAGCCATGTGCCAAATAAATTGCTCAACTCGGGGGCCAGGATCTGAAATGGAGCGTCAGTCCCACATCCTACAGCGCTCCTGTCCACCCTTCACCGCGGGGCAACTGACCTGGAAGTTGGGGTCTGTAGTGATGCTCTAGGCAGGTTCCCTTCACCCCGCAGACTCTCCTCCTAGGGAACGGAACCGGCAGCAGCTGACCTGGCAGGAGGTAATTTGCATTTAAAGAGAAAGTGACCTTCTTTAGCGCTGAGGATGGAGCAAGGTGGAAGCAGCACCCCACTTACTAAGCCGTCCCTCTTAACTTTACGTGAACCGGATGACCATTTAGTTCCGTGACGGCAATCTAAAAAACCCTTTCAATTTCCCACCTGTCTTGGAGGGCAGCTATAATCCCTGACAAAATGGTGGTGGCTTTGTCTGAAGAAAGGGGAGGAGGGAGAGAGAGAATATATATAAACCTGTAGGCAGCTCTGCAAGCAGCAGTAGCAGGAAATTACAAGAGAAGGCAGCCTCTATTGAGTGAGTGCTGCTTCCCTCGTAAGCACTCCTGTGAGTTTAGTTCTCTTAACAACCCTAAAGGAAGATAGCGTCATCCTGTTTTATGGAAAGCGGAACAATAATCTTTTGAGGGCACTAGCACTCCCTGCCCACACCCGACATGCCTGGAGGGTAAGTGGTGGGGCTATATTCTGCCACTGAGGAATTGACGGGGCCAAGTCTACCCCTTCACCACCCCCAGGAGTGCAGGGAGCCTCAGGTCAGAGGGAAGCGGCATGATTACCTGGCCCTTGATTCCAGTTCCCAGGAGAGAAACCTGAGCGCCAGATGGGGGCTGATCCACTGCTGCCCGAGGCCAGGTCAACGGGCAGCTATTTAAAGACCTGGCAGAGGCTCCCAGCTCTAGTCTCCAGAGAAGTATCCACTGCTACCGGAGTGGGGCTTATCCTTGGCCAGGCTGCCCTACAGTCTCAAATAGCTGCTCCCCAGCAATGCATAGCCACGTCACCTTCCCTTCCCACTGCGGGGAGCACCTTCCCTGGGCCAGACCTGGGCCTCTGGCTTGTTAGGGAGAGGCACTTGGGTACCTGCACAGGGCTCTTTTCCAGGTGCTTCTAACAGAGACCGCTCCAGAAGAGGAGACATTCATTTAGGACCTTTTCAATAACCAGGGGTCAGAGGGAGAGGTCTGTACAGGCAGAGAGGACAACTGCAAAGTCCCCCCCCCCCCCGCCAGAGCTGCTAGAGTGTCCCCAGGGCTGCTGTACATCCTGAGGTCCACGAGCACCTCTAGGGTGAAGTTATGCTCAGGGCTGCTCTGCTTGGGAGTTCCAAGAGTCAGATGGCCTCCCCTCCCACCTTGCATGGGAATCTTTAGTTGGCCAGAACAACAGATTTTCTTTTTCTTTTTTTTTTTTTTGAGGCATGTTTTATTTATTTGTTTGTTTGTTTTGTTTATACATTCACTGGGTACAGTCAGAAGCCCGGGAGGGTGAGAGAACTCACCAGAGCCAGAGCGGGGAGCAGAGCAGGCAGAAGGACCAAAGTACACTGCAGAGGGGAGCAGCGGGCGGCAGGAGAGGTCTGCGCGCCATGTGGGACCCTCCTCCGGTGGCCGGGGAGCAGCCGGGGATCAAACCGGTGCCACAGAGGCCGCGGGCAGCTTCGCAACCCAGCGCTCAACCACTGCGCCACCGGGGAGGCCCCAGAACAACAGATTTTCAATCATTAGGGCCCTGACTAAGAAGAGGCAGCAGCTCTGTGGGGCCTCTCATGGCCAGTGTGGACTTACCTGCCAGCGGCTGCCTGGACAGAAGGGCACTTTAGTTTTCTGTCATTTGTTGGACATTCACATACCATCCTTTGTGACAGAACCACCCAAGCCCCAGACAGAACAGGGTGGCAGGTGAAGGGCTTACCAGCGGGATGTCTCCCACATAGGTGCCTCAACTGTTATTCAGGCTTGGGTGGGTGAATGGGTGTGGAAGAAACAAGCCCATTTTGTCACAAAACACTCAAAATCAAAGAAAAATGGAGCTCCCGTGTAACTTGTCCACGGGTGCTGTCCGAATAGCAGTGACGACAGTGTGCACCCATCTCAATTTTGGCCTCCAATGGCCTATGCATAGCTCTCTGTGTTCTGCTTTTCCTTACAACCTACGCATGTCCTATTTAAATACCTTCAGTAGTTCCCCTGCCTACCCTCTGGACCTAGCCCAAATTCCTTAACCTGGCACAAAGACTGTTGGTAAACTGGCCTCATCTTCTATCATCCTCCTGTGCACCTACCCTCCTAGGTGAACTGCATTCAGTAATGGCTTCTGCCTGCCCTTTAGGAGGTAGGTCCTTCCTATCCTCTTGTCGCCTTGCTGAAAGGGAGCGGGTTCTTTTCTATACTTCCACAGTACCCCCTCCCGAACTCAAGAGCCTTCAGAGAGCAGGGCATTTTCTTCCCCAAGACATGTTTTTTTATTTGGAACACAAAATGAGGATTCAGTGCACTTTGAGGTCAGAATTCTGGCCTGTGTAGCAACACATCCTTCACCTGGACAAAAATTACCCGTGCTTCTAGTACATGGAACGTTGACCAGCCCTAGAACCTGTGAATTATACGGGACCTTCCATCAGAATCCAATTATCCAAGTAATGCGTATTGTGTGACCAGGCATTCACGCTGTCCACAGCCAATCTGTCACCTTGTTAATTCCCACGCACATTTCTGTTGCTAAGTTTTTTTGTCATTTGACTGCTCAATAGGTCATTATAGACATTCACTTCTATAAATAAGGAAAAATGGAACAGGACATTGGAAAATCAGTGAAGAGACAAATCAACCATCCCAACTTTACTACAGTCAGTGAGTAATAGTATATGGGGTTAGAAACACTTGCCTAGAGCCCTGACAAAAAGGTAGAGCTTTCCTGACACGGTCATGAGCTAAGAACACGGAATCCAGACATCAACAGTATTGCTAATGATGTGTCATCATAGGTCTCCCAGACTAAAGACTGACAGCTGTCACCTTTGCTGGCAATGTGGCTTTCCTAAGCTTTTGTCACTCAAAAGGGGACGGTATTGCCCCCCTTTTAGCAAATGCTCCTCTCTTCAGGGTCAGAGCATGTACAGGTATCTTTCTGCTGCTGGGTCTTGATGTGGTTTGAACACTGAACTTTCCACAAGACAAAAAGTATAGTCAAGTATTAATGTCCACCACTTACCAGAGATGAACAAGAGTGAAAGAAATAGAAGTAATGATAACAACTTACCTGGATGGTTTATCTCAATTGTCAGGAGCAATCTTTGGTTTAGTGAAAGAAATCATCTGACGCTCCATAGATGAGCACCATGCCAACTTTGCCAAAAGCTCTACTCAGCAGCTCAAGTGAATTTGCTAGTGGTCTGAGTCTGTGGTGCCTGCTGCAAGGCAGGAGGGAACAGCCACAGAGTCTACAGCCGACCCAGACAAGTCAGATTTCGCCAGGTGGATTCAGAGGTACCAAATGACCACAAAGTTCAGGAAAGAAACAAGTAAGGCAACAGACTCTTTATTTAACGTGGTTTAAAATACATCAAAATCAAGTCCCTGGCAGTTGTGAATACCAAAAGGAGACAAAAAAAGCTGCCGGCACAGCTTCAAATAAGTTTGGGTGGCCTGGCTGGGCCATAAGGGAAGCAGTTACAGGGACAGAAGGCAGCACCCCTCCCCCAGGCAGGTGCCTGGCTGTCCCTGGGGTGACTGCCTCTGGCTGTGCAAGGTGGGAGGGCTGGAGTAGCAGCTGTACAATCAGCGCAGCAGGCCTCACCCCAGACACCAGGGCAGCTCCACTGGCCTCTTGATCAGCCCTAAGCAGGGCCACCAGGAAGAGGGTGGAGGAGGGAAAATAACCATTTTCAGACATAACATTCTCTTACAGAAAGTGCCTGAGCTCAGCCCATGGTCCAAAAACCTCAAGGAAAACAAGTTAAAAAAAAAAAAAAGTGCTGCCGAGACCTTTCAGAATCTGGTACATGAAGCACTCAGCTGGACAGTTCTGAACACAACTCTGTCAGCAGAGCCAAGGGCCTCTGTCTCACCTGGTCTGGTCCCTGGAGGAAAAGCTAGCAATCTAAGAAACCAACACAGATCTTGGTCCTAAAACTGAGGTCATGTGCATGAGATCTGCCCTGGTAAAGAAGGAACTGGCCTTCATTCACACGAAGGCCTCCTCCCCTGTATATTGCCCAGGCTCCTGGCAGGTGCGGGAAGCACCCAGGTATCTGGGCTGACTTTGGAAAGCAGAACAAGCAGAGCAGCTGTAGTGACTGATAACATTTGGTCAATGGAGAGGAAGAGGAAGAATGGTATCCCCTTCTACAGCCTGGCCTGGGACTGAGATGGCTAGAGCTGAGAGCGAAGGCCATATCCTGCTCGGAGCATGTGCTTTTGACCTGGTAAGCACATCTGGGGTCACTTTGCCCACAATAGCTAGACTTAAGCCCGAGGCCTGCCATGCAGCTGTGACCTCCTGTACCACCACAATGGGCTCCACCACCCCACCTCCTCCCCATGGGCTTTAAGAGGTAGCTGAAGTGAGGCAGGCAAATTATGTGAACCTCTGCTGGCCTTCCCACTCTTTTAAAGGTGCCAGGCAGAAGCTTCTACCTCTTCCCTGCGCTTCCATAGCCCAGCAAACCCTGTATGGGGTTGGCAGCACTTGTGTATCTCAGTCTGGTACAAGAAGTGAAAAAGGCATGCCCAGGGACCATTCTGGAATTTTAAAGAAGGGAAGATCTTAGGAAACACTTCTCCACAGGAGAGGAGTATCTCAGCCAGGGATGGCAAATAGATCTCAATACTTATGCTGGCTGCTGGGGGAATTTAGAGATTCAAGGATATACCTCAAATGAGGGATCTGCAGGAAACACTTAGATTATTGGTATCCCCCACAGGGGCAGCAGGGAAATTGTGTGCCATTCATTTGCCATCTCTGGTCTGAGCAGTAACATGATTCAGGAGAACATGACATTCTTCAGAAACCAACTTATCTGAGGGATTGAAGTTAAAGGCTGAGAGAGCAGGCTAGCTGTGGAAGATGAAGGCCCTACAGACAATGAACTAGCTTCAAGGAAATATAGGAGGAAGCATAAACTCTGCCATTCTGCTATCTCGGACTGCGGCTCCCTCAGCTACAGCGAAGCTGTGCCCTGGCTGTTGGAAGTTGTACCGCAAGCCCACCAGAGTTCTGCTTCCTGACCCAAGCCTCATTTTGTTACTGCAGAAAACCGCTCTGTACAGAGGGTGGCTAATACCCTTTAAAGTTTTCAACCAGCAGAACTCTTAGAGAGTAGCATGTGAACAGGGATGGGTGAAGGAAGAACACCCACAAATACCTGCAGTCATTTTGTGGCTTTCTGGGGTTCAGTCAATTGTTAAGTCTCATTCTTATCCTTTAGCTGCCAGAAAGAGCTGATGGCTCCCCCACACAAGTGGGATGTCAAGGAGGACATACCTCAGTCCTACTCCTCAGGCAGAAACTGGGCAAACCTCAAGGACCGCACGTGATGGGTGGTCAGAAAGCGGAGATTCATAAAGCCAAGGGGAGCAGCTGGGTCAGGGTGCAGCAACTGCTACATGGAGACAGTGGTGATGGGATCAGTGGTGGCCTCCCGGGATTGAAATTCCTAGGCAAGCTGTGGCAAAGCCATCAGAGGTCCTTTCCTTTCTCTTAATACAATCTGATTTCATCAAATAGGAGACCTCAGCACCAACATGGCAAAGGTGCCAGCAGGAGTGGTGGGCACTGGAGGCCAGACACCCAGGTACCACTGCCAAAGCACCTGCTCACCCCAGAAGATCCTCAATATAAACACTGTCATGTGCAAAATAAAAAAAGAAAACCAAACACCTTCCGAAAGAATCCTTTGGATGATCTCTTGTCAATCATTTGTGCAGGCGAGAGAGGCACCTGTGAATGATAAGGCTACTGAGAAGCATCATTGGCCTGGTCCTGGCACTAACAGGGGGCAGGGGAAGCGGGCCCCAGGGGCTCCCTACCAGCATATCATCCCACACAGAAACCTTCTCCAGGTCCCTTGTCCTAAGCAGGAAAGCAGTTTCATCACCAGTTCTGAGTGCCCTGCCAGGGCTCCGGCTCGGGGACCCCCTCTTCCAGGTCAACAGAAGCAAAGGAGCTTCTAGGGGAGCTGGGAGAGCTGCCTAAGCTCCGCTCACAAGAGAAACACAGTCAAGGCCTGGTGTGTCACTTGTCACGAGCCCTGAAGGGCAGGGAAGGAGGGGTCTGAGTCTCAAGTAGGGCAGGAAGATGCTCACGTCATTTGTCCTGCCAGCTCACTGTGACAACAGCAGGTATCAGCTCCTCTTTGAGACTCTTCAACTCACAGAAGAGCCAGAGTTGATCTGTACACACCCCGCCTCCAGTGCAAGCCCATTTTACACTTACAAATAGAAATGTATGAGGCCTTGCACATATGCCATAAGTATGAAAAAGTGACCCATAAAATCCAGAACTGCAGTGTCAGAGGCCAGCCAGGTTACAGGACCCTGGGCCTCAGCACTGGACTGCTTAGCAGTGGGAGCCTTGCATGGGCCAGGCCTGGCTGGGCTGCTTGCTCCCTTCCCAGCGTGCCCCCAGAAATAGGTTCCCTAGGCAGTAGTGGAGGTGAGCTCCTGGGGCCCTGTTTGGCCTGATGCTTCTGTGCTTGGTGCTCCCAGGCAGCAAGGAGCTTCTGTGGCCTGTGGGGAGCTGGGTGCTTGGGCCCTGGGCCCCTCCCCGCCCTGCTCTTTGGAGGCAGTGGCAGTCTCTGGCCGCTGGTCAGGGCCGCTGTCAGTGAGGAAGCCCTGGCCACCAGCACTCAGGTCCTGTACCCTCTTGTTCAGGTCATTGCGCTCTGTCTGCAGTGCCCGGCACAGCTTCTCCAGCCGCTGGATTTTCACTTGCAGGCCTTCCAGCTCTTTGTCCCGGAGAGTTTTCTAGGGAGAAATGGAGTCTTTTCAGTGCCATGCTGCCCCCTGCGCCTCCTGTCACTTGGTAGAAAACATTTACACTTTCACAATGGCAGGAGCGAAAGCAGAGTCAAATGCTGGCTCTTTTCAAGTAAACAGCCCAGGTCCACCTAAGACTCAGCTGTCATATGGGGCAGTGTGGAAAGGGGTATGGCCTGGAGGTCAGATGATGTATTCCTGCCTCCATTTATTTGCCATATGACCTTGATAAAGTCCTTGGCTTTTGAGTCTTATCTCCTTATTGGCTAAACTGAACTACTAACATTTACCTCACAGATCTCAAGAGAAGGCTCAAGGAACTGACCTATTTTAAACATCCAGTAGGTTGGGCCCACAGTAGCTGCCCCAGCAATGTCAGTCACTTTCTTCTCCTACACCCCAACCCACAGAAAAGGCTCAAGTCATCTGTCCTGCCACTGTGCACAGAAACTACATGCATCACTGGCACCCCTTGCTGCTTTTGTTCCCCTAGCCTTTCTTCCATTTGTTCTTTGCTTTCCATGCAGAGCTATCACTGGGCTCACCAACTGCCACAGGGAGACAGTTGGCACTGCCTTTGGCCTTGGACAGACATGGATGTGAGCTCCAACTCCAGCTCCTGCAGCTGCATCACTTACAGGAGAGGGCCCCCTCAGTAACTGCACACCCAGCCTCACTGAAAGCACAGCTGACCTCCTCAGCCATCTCCAGCAGGGCCTTGTTGCTGCTTTCCCACCGGGACCGGTACATGGTAGTTTCTTTTTCCAGCTTCTTGATTTTCTTAGTCATCTGGGTTATGTGACAGAAGAACACGGTCAGGATGGTAAGGCTGGCTGTGCATCCATTTCTCGACAAGGGCAAGGCATTATAAGGCATGGTCAGTGCCTCTGTGCTACCAATGATGCTCCAAATTAAATACCTTCCATTAGTAACAGGAACTGACAAGATTAGCTCTTCCCCAGACAACTGGAGTGTACAACATTGAGAGGGGGAGAGGCTGTGATCTCTACTTCTAGTCCCACCCCTGGCATCAATCACACTGTTACTATACACAGCTCCCCAGGAGGCTCTAGGATGGGAACTTCCTGAAAGTAGACCCACAGTTTAATTATGAACCAAGGAGCTTGTGCCTAATAGGCACACCCGGCGGGGACCACTGTTACCTTCTCCATCTCCTGTTTGAATGTGGTGAACACCTCACTGCTTTTGGAAAGAGTGTTCTGGAACTCCTCAAACTTCTCTGTGTAAAGGGCAAGCTGGGTGAGAAAGAAGTGCACAAATGAGACTGAGCTTCACTGGCAGACACTTCTGATTAACACCTTCAGACCTATCCTTGGCCCTCTGACACGACAATCCTATTAAGACACCATTTCTCCTTCAAACAAAACTATGTACTTGGAAAAACAGGATACAAAATGCTAAATCTGGAAAGCAGGATTTGGGGGTGACATATTTTGCTTTTACATTCATTGCTTTTAAACTTTTATTCTGGAATTAAGTATAAATCTATTTGATTAAAAGCCACCACTCTATCCCCACCTCCTCAAAAGCAGCACGCTTCCAAGTAGGAAGGAAATCCTCCCAGTTCACCTTGCCACCTGGTCACCACCACAGGTGCTGGGGGAGGGGCCAGAGAGAACAAAGGCTCAGCAAGGTCACACTGCAGTCAAGGTGGTCCTAGAATGAGGGTCCCATTTCCCTACCAGGATGCGGCCCAGGTGGCCACGAAGGGTCAAGATACACCGTCTTACCTGCTGCTTCAGATGGGTCTCCTGCTGCTTCATCAGCTCGCACATCCTCTGGGACTCCACTGCCTCTTTGAGAAGCTATTTCCAAGACAGGACCTCAGACTCATCAGAAGCCCTTAGTGGCTACATTTGGCTTTTATTTTTTAGCCACAAGCACCAGAACCCAAGGTGGTGTCCTGCTCTCAGCCTGGTGTCTTAGGAAGCAGTGCTCTGGTCTGGCCAGGCAGCAACCTCTCCCATACTAGCTGCACTGTAAGCCAGAACCCAACCTATGTCCTCCCAGAGCCCCCATCCCCGAGACAAGCCTCACAAAATCCTTCTCCCGCTGGTGCCTCTCCTCTGCCTCCTTCAGCATCTCCTGGGCCTGCTGGAGCTTGGCGTCCACCAGCTGCTGCTGCAGGTCTTTGTGTTTGAAGACTTTGTCGATATGCTGCAGGAAAGCATGATGTGAGAGGGCCACCTGTCAGGAGTCCCTTTCTCAGGGGGGTCTGGTGAGTACAGGGATGTCCCATCTGCAGAGACCAGGGCACTTCCAAGTGCACCATAAGACATGGGCCCCAAGCCCCTCGAAGGCTACTTTCTAACCTCACCTAATTTCTTTCTCACTGAGTCAGTCTTGGGTAAGAACAGGAATTTGTTTATGGAGACAATCAGCCCTCAGGAAGTTAGGTAATAAATGTACTCACGAGAGATCACTCAACACTCACATTTGTAGCCTCAGTCCCTTATATATGGACAGAAAGGGCAAAGAAGTGACACCACCCACCCAACAGCTGAGCTCAGTTGGCAGAGATCTGCCATGCCTACAAGCTGAGGGTAGATATATGCATCCCAAGAACTGTATGGAGGAGCACTGGGATTCTGGACCAGGCAAGAGAGAACAAGTGGTGGATTCACGTGCTACTTCAAAGGTAAAAATCGACTGGAAAAAGGGATGTGGGGCATTTTATGTAATTTTTGGATGTTGAAGGGAAGGTAGCTTATTAGAGATGGGTCCAGTTTGGGACATGATGAATTTCAGTCACCTGTGTGACTCAGAGAGGTCAGGCTGGGGTTGCCTGAATCTGACTGGGGGTGGAGTGTAAAGGAGGGGGCAACAGGGCCTAGTAGACCTGGACCTCCACAAGCAGTATCAGGTCTTTGGGGTCCTCATTCTATGGTGGCTTAGGAAGCCTCTATGGCTTGCACGCTGAAGGATAAGAACCAAGCCAAGTTCTCTAAAACTAAATGTATCACAAACAGTCTTGTTCCAAGGGATGAGGTACAGGAAAAGGAGTGGGCCAGGAGAGGACTGAAACCAAGAGGGTGGGCTCTTGTTCATTCCACCCAGCACCAAATGCAAGGCCTAGGAAGGGGCCTGGTCTAGCCTGGGAAGGTGGCTGCCGGCTTCCTTTTTTATGATGAATAAACAACCCAGAATAGCCAAGTGACTGTCAGGCGTGTGGAAACCCAAAGATAGGAATGTGAGTGTCTGGCTGATGCCAGCTAAGGTAGACACCCTGTCAGAGGGCAGGGGCAGGAGAGCAGCAAGGACTCAGAAGAGATAGTCCTTGGAGTTGTTACCTGAAAACAGATGGATTGCTTCCCCTGAATGTCCAAATTCTGAAAAATTGTGAGCTGGCAAATCTGACCCTTATCGTTATAAGGCTAATAACCTAGGTGAATACTCAGAAAATGCACTGCACAAATATTAACATGTCTGATTTGGGGGTGCTACGTAATACACAGTATATGAATCTATCTCCATTCTAAAACTTGGACAGTTCTAATTTCAAAAATCACCTGGCCCTACCGTCTAGGAGGTACTGTGGACTTGGTGTGATGGTCAGGGAAGTCTCTCTCTACCTCAGTTCCTTGCCTGAGTGAGGATGCACAATACTCCCTTCCCAAGGAAGAAGGAAGAATGTGAGAAAGGGATAAGGGAGGAAGTCCTAAAGGGCTGTTGGGCACCCAGCACACAACTAGGCCTCACAATTCTCTGGCCACGACGGCTGTCCAATACCTTACCTCCTCCCGCAGCTCATACTGCTCAATCAGTTTCTTGAGTCTCTCAGCCAGCTCCATGTTCTCCTGGCGCAGCTTGGAGTTGCGCTCATTGTGTTGCTCCATCTGCAGCTGGATGTCATTCAACGTCACCTGGAAGTGCGAGGTCACCTCCTTGCGTTTCTCCTCCTCCTCCCGGGCCCGCTGCACACCTTCTTCCTGGGCAGAGAAGTCAGCCGGAGTGCCATCATCCACTGTTCCCCAGCTAACCTCACAAGGATCCCCCAGCTAGTCAGGGATGGTATCTCCCAACAGCTCTCCCTGCTCTCAAGGAATAAGTGGACTCTAAGGTGTTATTGCAGTGGGGGTTCCTAATGGATCCCTTTGTAAACCAGGTGACATCAAGTGAGGTATCATTAGAAAGCAATCTGCATCCCCTGAAGCCTATCTCCCATACTTTGGATTAAGTACTCGAGTTTAAATGTGCTTTCATCCCTGCCCCATCCCTGCCCCACCCCTGCAACCAGTCCTTAAACTTCAGGAACACCCAGGGCTGGAAAGGTGCTCAACACTGCTGTCGGGAAGGCAATCAGGCTCACACATTTCACTTCTGAGTTTATCCTACAGATAAGTTCCATGTAGGCAGAAACACATATAAAAAACAAGAATGCTCAAACACTCTATAGATGCAATGGTGAAAAGTTGAAAGTGACCAAAATAAACCTTAAATAGGACACTGATAAAATATAATATATCCCCGAATTCAAAATGTCATGAAAACTAGCAGAGTGTTTATTCATCCATCCTGATATGTAATGAAAACCACTCTTTGGGAAAGCTCTTTGAAATGGAAACCAAACTTCCCTCCCTAAAGAAATAAATAGTGGCAAAACAAAAGCCAGTATACTGACATAACAACGCTGCTAAAAGAATGAGAGCGCCTTACAGCCTCTCCCAGGGAGATAAGGCATGGCGTTATGTGAGAAAAGGGAACAGCATAGGAAACAGTACATGTATAATGGTGTCACTTTAAAACCATATGTAAGTGTTATCTGTAAACAGGAAAGAAAAAGGACACACTTTACGTGTAAGTAGGTTTACTGGCCAGTGGTTTCTGCTGGGCATGGGTTCATGAGGGTGCGCAACATTATCTTTGATTTGTTATACTTCTATCACCTCTGAATGCCTCACATCAAGTATGTAATAAAATTTGTAATGTCATAAAGACAAACTCAAAGTGAGCAAAAGAAACTGCAAAACACCTCATATTCACAAGTTTTATATAAAGATGCAAAGAATACGCATACAAAAACCATCTGGAGGCCACAGCAGTGACTGAGGCTTTGACCAGATTAACACCCTCCCCCTGACTCACCAGCCCTGGGAGAAGGAGCTGTTTTTCAGCGCAGTCCCTGCTAACCACTGAGAAATGCTGAAGCCTTGAATTCTGGGTGCTCGTAGCACCTCAGCTTTTGCCTTACTTACTTCCACCTCACCTTACTTGTCCAACAGTTACAAGTAGCTCTCAGAGGAACTCTATTTCCACACTGAAAGCCTATACTACTATTTAAGGGGAAAACCCACCAAAAGTAAGTGGAAGTGAAGGGAAGTCAAAGAAACCAGAGTGGGAATCCTGCAGGGGGACTGGGCAGCTACCTTGAGGGAGCGGTTGTGGCGCTGCAGCTCTCGGCACAGGCTCTCCAGCTTGCTGCGCGCCAGGACAGCCTTGCTGTGCTCACCCCGCAGGTGGTCCTTCTCCTGCACCAACTGGCTCTGCTTCTTCTGCAAGAGTTTCATCTGTTTCTGCGAGTTCCGGTGCTCCTCCAGCTGGGGATCAGGACAGGTAGCGAGAATCACGCAGGGCTCTCCCCATGAAGAGCCAGGGTCTCCTGAACTGACTGATCCTGGCCCACTCCCCCAACTCCGGCCATAACAACTCGGATAGTGCAAGGGACACTGAGGGACTTCACATTCCTCCATTTGGGCTGCTCGATAACCCAACGGGTCCCGTACTGAGATACAGAAATGGACAGTCAGGACAAGTGCAGGGGTTAATGTCAGCAGATCCCAGCTTCTCTCCCAGCTCTAACCCAGAGACAAAGCTCTCAGGATTCTCAGACTGTTATGTTCCCCCCCACTCCGGATATTCATGTCTTCAGATGAGACCACCTGCTACTCTCCTAGTACTCACTGACAGACCCCATCACCTCCTCTCACGGCTCAGAGACTTCAGCACTACGTCACCATTTCTGTTCTACAAGATGTTATTATTGTCTTGGCCTTTTTCCTTAGGGACAGACAGTCCTAACTCCTTGGTTTCACAGTCCTCAACCTCCTCCATGGACCCTTCCCCTTCTCAGCTCTGCTTCCCTCCCAAAGCCCATGCAGCACAGCACGGCATAAATACAATATGACTCAATTATGTATAAAAAATGTTCCAGTGGCCAATTCAAAAATAAAAGAAATAGGGGAGGCCCTATTTCTTGGTAGAGGAAGGGGTTAAGATGCAACCATGAAGCTCGCTGCAGCCACTGCGGTATTAGTTCGATCCCTGGCCAGGGAGCCTCCCATATGGTGCAGCAGACCTCTCCTGTCTTGTCCGCTGCTCTCCTCAGCAGTGTATTTCAGTCAGTCTGCCTGTTCTGTTCCCCACTCTGTCTCTGGTTAATCTTCTCACCCCCACAACTCTGGCCTGTACCCCAGTTCTTGTATGTATGAATAAATCTTAAAAAAAAAAAAAAAAAGGAATAGGGGAACCTAACATGAAAATTTTATTTATGCAATCCAAAATCCAAATAATATAATTTCACAATTGGAATCAACATATTAAATGAGGTATTTTACCTTCTCCCTTTTCCCTTAGGTCTTTGAAATTGAATCTTTTTTTTTTTTAATTTTTTTTTTTAAGATTTATTTATTTATTTATACAAGCACTGGGTACAGTCAGAAGCGCGGGAGGGTGAGAGAATTCACCAGAGCCAGAGCGGGGAGCAGAGCAGGCAGAAGGACCGAAGTACACTGCTGAGGGGAGCAGCGGGCGGCAGGGGAGGTCTGCGCGCCATGTGGGACCCTCCTCCGGTGGGCGGGGAGCAGCCGGGGATCGAACCTGCGCCGCAGAGGCCGCGGGCAGCTTTGCAACCCAGCGCTCAGCCGCTGCGCCACCGGGGAGGCCCTGAAATTGAATCTTATACTTTGAATTCAGCACATGGAAATTCAGCACAGGTACATTTCAGTTGGCTGGTGGCTACTGCCCTGGACAGCGCAGGTCTAGCCTTTGTCACGACCCATCTCCACAATCTTAGCCCAGGCCAGGATTCCCTCCATCACCTGTCTGTCCAGTTCATTCCGTCCAGTATGTGTGGTCCCAGATCTTACTCCAATCAACTGGCTCAATCATTCTTTTACTTTCCCTTCAACCTTCTTTTAAATGACCACTCGTTTTTCACCTGGCTTAGATGCTTACACCCTCAACTCTCTTCATCTCCCTTTCCAGCAAAATCCCAAGTGCTTGCTCTGCCCCAGCACCGAAGCAGCACTTAAAGAGGAGCTTGCTTCAGATTCACCACCGCCCTTGCAGGAAGACCCTGTCAGCCTATACGCAGTGCCGTGACCACACTTACCAGCATTAATGCTAATCCCTTGATGCTGTCTAGCACCCGGTCACAGCCAGATTTCCTCCTCCTCCTTTCACTCCAAAGCAGTCCTAGACATTTCTCACATTAGTCACAGTCCTCTTTTAGATACTTCATCCACTTTGAAGCTCCTCTGCCCCTACTACAACCATGACTCCCTTTCCCCGAGAACACAGAAGCAACCAGGGCAAGCAACCAGACAGAAGCAACCTGTCCCGCCCGCCAGGTCTCTTGTATCCATCCCCTGCAGTCAGTGACCCGGCTGCTCTCACCAGCGCCAACCCCTCAAGAACTTCACCCTAGCAACTCACATCCTCTCTCGCATCCTCACTCTTTCCCTGGCTGCATCATTCTTAAAGAGCGGTACCTTTTCATGTCCTTTTCTTTATTTAAACATTATAAATTCCTCCCATTTTAGGGATGAGCAAAGTTCCTTCTAGGAGAATTACAGCCAGTAAATGTTAATAGAATAAAAGAAAAAAATAATGGGCAATCACCTTCAGTAGTCTTCAAATTCTGATAGGGAATCTGGGCCTCCCTGCTGGCACAAGGGGTTAAGTCTCAGCACTACGAAGCTATCGGCAGCCATTGCAACATGAGTTCGATCCCCGGCCAGGGAGCTACCCACATGGCACAGCAGACCTCTCCTTTCTCACTCACTGCTCCCCTCAGCAGTGTATTTCAGTCAGTCTGCCTGTTCTGCTCCCCACTCTGTCTCTGGTGAATCCTCTGGCCTACACCCCAGCTCTTGTATGCATAAATAAATAAAATAAATCTTTAAAAAATATTCTGATAGGGAATCTGACAGAGGAGGGACCCGGTTGTCACAACACAACCCCAGCGAACAATTCCCCACCACTAGGAGTACAATGACCACACTGTATCTCCTCTGATGCAACATGGGTAGCGAGTCCCACCAATGAAGAATTCCTGTCAACAAAGTCACACTTAAAACAAGCTTCTAGCACTAACTTTACTAAGGAACTAAGGAGGTAAAGGAACAAGTTAAATGCATCACAAAGCTAGAAAGTGGGGTACCTTATAGGATAACTGATCGGTATTAAGACAATGTCACGTGAAAAGAGGGGCAAAAGATGAAGACTGCTTTGGAGCAAAAGGAGGAGGAAATCTGACTATGACTGGGTACTGGAGAATATCCAGTGATCAGTGTTAATCCTGGTGTGGTTGCAGCACTGTCCGTACTTTGGGGAGAAGCAAAGTAAAGCTAACGGGGCAAGGTGCAGTATCTGAGACTCAGACCAGTAGCTAGGAGCTCTTCTCTCACTGTCAGTCCCAAAGGGGCTGGCTGGGACTTGGCTCTCAACTTAACAGATGGGGAAACACCCAGAAGGGGCTGACCAGGAATTAAGCCACCTGCCTGCCCTGTACCCTCACCCTAAGGTAAAGCGGCCTGCAGCCTTTCCAAGGCAGGGAGGGTACGAGAAGGGGAAGAACTGACCAGTTCAGCATACTTCTTGCACAGAGCTGCCAGCTTCTCCTCCGGGGTGCTCAGCGTGTTCAATGTCTGCATCAGCAACGTGATCTCCTTCCCTGCAAAGCATAGGGAGCAAAGGCATGTAGTCCCTCTTCTGAGGGCCTCCTCCGGGCCGGAGCCCACACTCTCCAGCCTGAGGCGAAGCTCCCTTGTCATAATTTATATTTGTTTGCTGTGTGCTAACCTGTGTGCTTCATGAGGTCTGGGACCAACTTGATTCTGCCAATCACTGTCGCTCCAGTCCTGTCCCTACTGCATGTCACAGGACATGCTGACCAAACACTCATTTAGTGAACTAACTTTTCCTGGTGAGCACTGGGGGAGGAAGGAAAAAGCTGTCTTTTCTAGCAACAGGTGAAAGAAAGGTGCCCCACTAGTGCTACCGTCTCAAGGTAAGCAAGGCCCGACTGGAAAAGGAAGCATGCAGAAAAGGGAGTAAGGCTTCTTGAGAACTACTAAACGCCTGTTGACAGAGACAGCCAAACAGTGAACTTTAAAAGTGAATTTCACTTCTAATATTAAATTGTAAGATTAAAAACACTAGTTGGGGGTCGGGGCCTAGGAACTAAAACACGGGCACAACACCTCCCTATTCTGACTGTTTAACACACACTTGTTTCCCACCCAAACACCAATGAATTTCCCCCACTTCCCTGTGCCTCAGTCCTAGAATCATCTCTCTGCTGTTTCCCACATAACCTAGTACCAGGCTCCTGAGCTGTCAGTCCAGGGAGACCGAGAAATCAAGCTGCTGGTACACAGGCCAAATGCATTCCAAAATTCTGTTCCCAGAATTTTTATCAGTTGCCAACTTGTTAAAAATATAAAGATTTCACATGATTCTAGATTTCTGTCTTTCCTTTAAAAAGAACAAAAAGATGTTGGCTTTACTTAGCCTGTAGTTTTACATGTTATCTACTTGCTAGAACCAGGTGACACAATCTTTGAATGATCATTCTCATGACCCCTGTGGGGCCCTCTGGGAAGCTTGGCTCACTTTAGTTTTTAATCTTGGTCTAGTACGATTCTCTTACTAAGGAAAAGTGAAAAAAAGAAACAGAGAGGAATAAGGTTTTGCCCAGCGTCACACAGCAGGTTAGAAATGGTGCTGGCTGGCAAAAATAAGACCCACCCAGGGTCTCCCTGGTGGCACAAGGGGTTAAGCACCACACTATGAAGCAATCCGCAGCCTCTGCAGCACGAGGCCAGGGAGCAATCCACATGGCGCAGACCTCTCTTGTCTCACCCACTGCTCCCCTCAGCAGTGTTTCTCAGTAGATTGACCTGTTCTGCTCCCTACTCTGTCTCTGATGAATCCTCTCACCCTGCCCCCCACCCCTGCCCCTCTGGCCTACACCCAAGTTCTTGTATGCATAAATAAATAAATCTTAAAAAAACAAACTATATCCTAACTCATCAGTGGATTACAACCTTGGTTAAAAAATATATATAAAAAGGGCCTCCCTGGTGGCGCAAGGGGTTAAGCACTGCACTATGAAGCAATCTGCAGCCTCTGCAGCACGAGTTCCATGCCCGGCCGGCCAGGAAGCAAAACCCAGGTAGTGCAGCAGACCTCTCCTGTATCACCCGCTGCTCCCCTCAGCAGTGTATTTCAGTCAGTCTGCCTGTTCTGCTCCTCGCTCTGTCTCTGGTGAATCCTCTCACCACCCCACATCTCTGGCCTGTACCCCAGCTCTTATATGCATAAATAAATAAATCTTAAAAGAAAAAATAAAAAAGCCCAACCCGGCCTCCTGTGTTCCACCTACACAAAGAGAGAACAGGTTGGATTTCAATTCCCTTAGCTTGTAGGGCCAGAAGCCCTTGAGCAATGAGCAGCCTGCACACCTGTGTGCTCTGATCCAGCAGCCGCAGCCTCGCTTAAACTAGTAGCACTTGCTGCTCTGGAAAGCAGGGTTTCCTCTGATTCCTCTGATTCCTGGCAATGTCCAAGGAATGTCAGGCCCAAACCTCCTCCCTTCACCAGCTGCCGTCTGCTCACCCAGGCCCTTGGCTTTCTTCTTTTCCTGTGGCCTCCGGTGGTCTCGGTCTCCGACCTCATCACCTGCTCGGATCTCATCTGTGCCGGGCTCCCCTTTGGAGGTCTCCTTCTCACCATTGACTACTGGGGTCTCTGGCTCAGGCTCCCCATTCCTTGAGGCATACGTCCGGGACTTCTCTGCATCATCAGGTTCAGCAGGCTCACCCTGTGCCCCGTCCTCACCTGGGCCCCCCTGATTGTTGTCCAGACAGTATGTACTCAGGATGTCTTCCAGCTGGCGGCTCAGCTCCTCAGAGACATCACGGAGGGCTCCAGCCTGAGCCGTTCTGGCTTGCACTCCTTACCGCAGAGGATGAGGGGCAGAGTGAAAACAAGATGGTTAACCAATGGCTGGGACTTTGCAGGCTCTCACTGGATTAAATGTTGCCTAACTTCTTTAAGCCTGCTTATTTACCTATAGAATGATGTAACTTTCTAACTACTGTCTGAACATCTTTATTGTGAATACAGACAAATCAAAGAGCTTCCAGCACACAGGACTGGCCTGTAGGAGCTCAAGGTCTAATCTCTTTCCTCCCTTCATGTCATCTTTTGCTATTAAAAAACGTTCCAGAAATGCTTCAAATATGAAGAGCAGTGACCACCAATCGACCAGGTGTTTCTAAGCTGGTTTGATGGGTGTCTCATCTGCCTGCCACCTGACTAAAATCCTGAGCATACTCCCAAGGGAGTTCCTGTGTTGGGGAGCGGGGAGGCCCTATCAACTCCCCAGGACTGGGCGGGGTGGGAAATCACCGGGACTCAGCATTGTCCTCTCATTCAACATTTCCGCCCTCCTGGATAGCCTTGGCCTCTCGCTGCAGAAGCGCCACTGGCAGACCACAAATTCCTTCCCCCGCCCGCAGGAAAAGCAGAGCTGGCACACACCCTCTGTCTTCCCAGGAGCCGGGCTGGAGGAGCCTTCAGCTTCTGTCACAGCAGGAGCCGCCTGGCTGGGCCGCCCCTGGTCTCCCTCTGGTCCTGCTTCCGATTGCCCCGGGTGGTTTTTTGGGTTGGAAGTGTTGCCTGATTGCTTGGCAGCCCCATTCTTTTTGTCTTGGTTCTTCATTGTGGTGTGCAACGCTAGGTTGGGAGCAGGTCCTTTAGAAACAAACACATTTGCTATTTTCCAGACTTCGAAATTCTCCGCAGCCTGGATCAGAGATCCCAACAGCGGGCGCACAAAGCTGCTTAAAGCCAACTGGCCGGCCTGCGCCCGGAGGGAGCCAACGGTCTCCCTGTCTCTGGCCGGTCAGGGGGGCCTGAGCTGCCCAGGTTTCGGGGCCGCTGCTCAGGCGCGGGGAGGAGAGGCCTCCTTTTGCCCGAAGTCACTTCCCGGCACAACACGGTCCCTTCCCGACAGGCCGGACGCACGATAGGCTGAGGGGCCGAGACCGACGTGGCGGGACGCTCGGCTCCGGGCCCTCCCCCCCCCGCGGGCCCACGTGGGCCCCCCCAGCACGCGCGCGCGCAGCCACCCACGCCCTGCGCGCCCTCCAGCCGCGCGCCGCCCGCCCGCGCATGCGCGCGCGCAGAGCCCTGCCCCCACCCCCTCCGCCCGAGCCCGTACGCTGAGTCGGTGCGATTCCTCTCACCGGCCAAAAGCGCCCAGGCTCGCTGACTCTCTGAGCGCTTCGTCCCTCCGGCCGCCCGCGGTACGCACCTCACAGTCGACGTGCAGACGGCTTCGCCCGCTCTGGCCTCCCACCGGAAACCCTGGGTAACCGCTGCCGGCAGAGCCTCCTGCTCCCGCCTCAGCCAATCAATAGCCGCGCTCGCGCAGGGCTTGCTGGGAAAGATGATGAGAGGCGGCCTCCGAGGCGGGACAGCTGGGAAGCGGGGGAGGGAAAGGACTACATGTCCCTACATGCATCGGGGCTGACCCCCAACTCCCGAGATGCACTGGGAGGGGATGAGTTCTAGGAGCCCGAGCCCCTGGAGGTCGGGAAGGAGCCGGTGGGTCGGCGCAGGTGCTCTCTTATCATCCCGGTTTCTGTCACGCAGAAGGAACCCTGGCGGCCGGCTGTTGTTCCCTGCGCGCGTCCGCCCACTCTCCCGTCCCTTGCTGTGATGAGAGCTATGGCTGTCTCTACTCCTCGGATGCGAGATCGACTCCTGGGCTCGAAGTCTGGACACCTGTACCCCAGGGCATCACTTTCCTCAAACTGGAGCTTTAAATAGCAGCGGTTGTTCTAGTGCCAACAGTGTGCTTTCCCGGTATCTAGCAGCACAATCCTTGTAGCTACTCACGAAGAGAAGTGCTATTTGTTATCCCCATTTTATAGCTGAAGTTGGTGAGGCAAAGGTTGGATCACTCGCTGTTGTCAGAGGGAATTCCAAACCAGGAAATCTGGTACCAGCCTCCCATCGTAATGACTTTCCTACCTTGCCTCTTATTCAAAAGAGATAACCACCATGGGATCCCTAGGGATGAGCCAAGGTAATGTTAAACTGGGTTTCTTTTAACCCCTCATTGGAAGGGGCGGAGGGGGTCCTGCAGGGAGTTTGGCATCAGCAGAATCTCAGCCTTTTTCTCTGACTGGCACACCCTCTCTAAAGTCACAGTTGCACGCGGGCTAAAGGGAAAGAAGCCAAACTTTTTCCCAAATGTGAGATACAATTTTTTATCCAATTGCATGTAAATAGAAAAAAAAAATCCAACCGGTTCGTCTGGCATTTATGCCTAAATGGTTTGACTTGTTTCCAGCCAAACCCTACCCATGCCCTTTGCCTTTTTTTGCTTCAACTTTACTTTTACTATTTCCAGGATTTCCCAGGTTTTTGCAAATGCTATTTTAGTTTCCAAAATGCCCTCTGGCAAGAGCAAAACACAGCCCAAAGGTCACTTCTGAGTTTTCCCAGTGCTCTGCAATATATCCTGGCTCAGCAGGTCTGGATAGAGTCTCATTCAGCATTCGCAATCCAACGTTTTAAAGTTATTTTCTTAACAGTCAGCGCTGCAAGAACTGTTGGCTCAATTCTCTAGTGCTAAAGCCTAGCATCAGTGTGGGGGCAGAGAATATTTTAAATTGTTCAAATTGGTCATTGTTTTAGGGCCCTTACTATTATTTCCCCTAATTAGAGACTTCCAGGTAGTATTGTCTAATCTCCCCCATTCTTTAAGCAGCTTAGAGTCTGAAGTTGTATTTACCAGGTAACATTGAGAGGTGGGGCCTCCCTGGTGGCACAAGAGGTTAGGATGCAACCTATGAAGCTGTCCAGTCACTGCAGCACGAGTTCAGTCTCCCACCAGGGAGCTACCCACATGGTGCAACAGTCCTCTGCTCCCCTCAGCAGTGTATTTCTTTTTTTTTTCTTAAAGATTTATTTTATTTATGCATACAAGTGCTGGGGTACGGACCAGAGGTGTGAGGGGTGAGAGGATTCACCAGAGACGGAGTGGGGAACAGAACAGGCAGATTGACCGAAGTTCTCTGTTGAGGGGACAGCGGGCAAGACAGGAGAGGCCTGCTGTGCCATGTGGGTAGCTCCCTTGCCGGCAGGAATCGGACTCATGCTGCAGTGGCTGCAGACTACTTCATAGGTTGCGTCTTAACCCTTGTGCCACCAGGGAGGCCCTCAGTAGTGTATTTCCATCTACCTGTTCTGTTCCCCACTCTCTCTGGTGAATCCTCTCACCCCCACCTCTGGCCTGTGCCCGGGTTCTTGTATACATAAATAAGTCTTTAACAAAAACAAAAACAAAACAAACATTGAGAGGTAATGAGAATATAATGAGGATGAAGCTGAGGAAGATTTGGAATCTGGGGCTCTCTTGAAACCAAAGCCCTGGTTATTTCCAGAAAGCATGTTGGAAATCTCATTAAGAGGTAACATAAATCAGGTCTTAATGACCTTCCATCCTAGAGTGTTCTAGGTAGAGATTAAGAACAAACAAGATATGCATGAGGTGAGTGGTATGGCAAGGGTCAATAGTGGCCTACAGGGGTTAGCTGGGTAATGGGCAGGCGAGCAAGAATAAGAAAACTATATAGAAAATGTTACTTTCTCCTTTGCTATAAAAGGAAATTAGCACCTGTCAGAGGAAGTTAGGGAAACCATTAGGAATGGTGGTGATTGTGGTAAAGTAGAGCAGCTCTTAATAGATCGAAATTTGAGCCGTTTATATTTCAAAGGGCCGTGGAGTGGTGCTGATGAAATATCAAAATGCTTTTTTTTTTTTTTTTTTTGTGGGACCCTCGCTGGCGGCCAGGGAACAAACTGGTGCTGCAGAGGCTGCAGGCAGCCTCTCAGCCCAGCGCTCAACCGCTGCGCCACCAGGGGAGGCCCGAAATATCAAAATTCTTTATAGAGATTTAGAGATACTCTAAATTCTTTAAAGATAGACATAGTTTATGCAAAATAAACTACAGTGATCTATGGTTGCTGGAGTTTGGTGGTGAAGAGGGATTCAAAAGGGGCTCACTGAAACTTGTAGATGAGATTTATCTTGGTTGTGGTGATATTTCAGGGGTATATGTATGTTGAAATTTATCAAATTGTACATTTTAAATATGTGCCATTTATTGTATGTCAACTAAATTTCAATAAAGTGGAGTTAAAAATTCCTTATAGCTGGAGCAGTCTGTTGGAACTGGAAAGGGCACTTTGTTTCCCCTTAAAGTGGTTATGGGGAGGCTGTTGTAATTCTTTTATTTTTAAAGATTTATTTATGTGTACAAGAGCTGGGGTACAGGCCAGAGGCGTGGGTGTGAGAGGATTCATCAGAGAGAGTGGGGAGCTGAACAGGCAGATCTACTGAAATACACTGTTGAGGGGAGCAGCAGGCGAGCCAGGGTAGCTCTGCTGCGCCATGTGGGTTGCTCCTGGCCAGGAGGCTGCAGAGGCTGTGGACAGCTTCATAGGTTGCATCTTTTTTTTTTTTTTTTTAAAGGTTTTGGACATTCTTTTAGCTTTTTAAAAAAAAAAATATTTATGCATACAAGAGCTGGGGTAAAGGCCAGAGGGGTGTGTGTGTGTAGGGGTGTGTGTGTGTGTGTACAAGAGAGAGAGAGGATTCACCAGAGACAGAGTGGGGGACAGAAAAGGCAGACTGACTGAAATACACCGCTGAGGGGAGCAGCAGGCAAGCCAGGCGGGCTCTGCTGCGCCATGTGGGTTGCTCCCTGGCTGGCCAGGAATCGAACTCGTGCTGCAGTGGCTGCGGATTGTTTCATGGGTTGGATCTTAACCCCTTGCGCCAGCAGGGAGGCCCTGTTGTAATTAATTCCACTGTTAGGCTACACGTTTAAACACTTTCTCCTAGGTCACTTCTAAAAAAAAAATCTAGTCGAGTCACTTAAAAGACGATTTAGAACTTTGCAACATGTTTTTATTTTTGCTTTATTATCTATTACAGTGTTTAAAACCTAAAGAAATACACTTTCTCTTCAAATTTGGATGTGTATATAAATATCATTTGTCTGGACTCAGCACACTCAATGCCACGGTTTCTTGGCCTATGTCTGCTCTGAAATCATCAAGCTTTGTCTGTCTACCCAGGGGCCCTGAGAACACGGAAAAGAGCCAGAGTTTATAGTTCTTGGAAAACTAAAGGCAAATGAATTTGAAAAGAAAAACCAGTCAGGAAAGAGTTTGATTCACCTTCCTAGGGTTTATAGCTGAGAATCCAAGCTGTTCTTGAGGAACATTCAATCTATCTTGTGTGGCTGGGATCCATACCCCTTGGCTTCTTTCATTGTTCACACAGTTCCCACAAAAGATAGCCAAAAAAGCCAATACCCAAAGGCCTAAGGGTCCGCATACAGGATTATTTCTGAATGACAGGTTTCCAGCCAGGTTCAGGCTCTGAGATTTGACCTTTCTTCACTGCAAGGCAGTGAAAATCTGACATAACTAGGGCTAGTGTTTAGCAGAGGGGTTCAGGTATGTGCTAATGTGGACCCCCAAAGTGAGGTAAGGCCCAAATCAACTGAAGACCTTTAAAGCACATTATACAAATCTTTCTCCTGGGGTGTTCTGGGCCCAAAACTGAACGTTGCCTCTTCACACTTAGTTTTGGTTCTACACATAGCACAGGCCTGATGGAAAATGCCCTCTTAGAGGAAAAATAACAGCTTTAATTCAATGACTTGGTTGGTACTGACCTCAAATTGTTCCCTTGCCATCAACTGGGGGTGGTGCTAGAAGACAGAAAAGTGGGATGACTGATGACTTATGAAGACCTTTGGGTGAAAGAGCAGCTAGTGACTACCACATGTGTCCCTGCAGGGCCATATTCTTAGCTTGCTGGCTTAATAAAATATTCTAAAAGTTAAAATGCAGAAAAAATACTGGATAAGATTGAACTAGAATGTGTTATCCCGAAACAGCTGTGGAAGAACCCTACTCTGAGCAATTTCTCAGTCTCACACTCACTTCTAGGGTGGTTCTAACTGGAAGATGCTGCTTCTGTTTATAAGAATTTCCTATGATCAGTGTCCTGAGCCTTATACCCTCCTCCAGCCTGCAGTGGGGGCAAACAGGCACACATTCCTGAGGCCTCCACTACTAGGTCGTTTCTCCCTACTAGGTCCCTGTAGTGCCTGCAGGAACCTGGAGAATCTGGCTCTCAGTCTTAAAACTGAGAATCCAGAATCTGAGGCCACACGATGACTATTGAGGAGCAGCCACAATACCTAGCTGAGTGAGTCTAGGGAAGAACAAATGAGCCAAGGCCTTCAATGAGGAACATACGTAGGATGAGAAGGGAAGTACTGCTTCCATCTACTTTCCTTCTAGTTTGCTACAAACTGGGAACAAAACAAAACAAAAAAGAGGAAATCCAATTCATGCTACTGGAGAGTGTTCATTTTAAATTGGTCTGGCTGGAGAGAAACAGAAAGCAGTGCTTGAGAGCCTTCTTTCATTCTTATATGACTAAGTATGGTAGCAGCTATAATGTGTGGTTCAGCAACCCAAAATAAGGGTCCAGAAAGGTGGATCCCAGTGCAAAGAAAATAGGAGCGGATCTAAGGATTCGAGGTAAGGGGAAACACCAAGGGTCCCTGAAAGCTGAGGTCATCAACAACTGTTCCTTGGAAGGGTCATTTGTACCCACTATTCCAAGTAACCATGATGGCCAACTGAGGGTGGAACCCATGAGGTTCTAACGAAAGGTTGAAATCACCGGAGAGCTGGGAACTGAAGACAGGCTTCTGAGGCCAGAGACCCTGTTAGTATTACAGAAGGTTATTTGAGGGTGGGAATCCCAGAGGGTTGGCAATAAAGAACAGCTGGCACTGTTCAACATAGTCTGAACACTTTAAGAAAAAGGCCTTGCCCCTAAATCCAAACCTAGATACCCCTACCTCTAACAAAAGACCTTAAAATGAATACCCAGTCATGTGCCAACATCCGGAGAATCCAAAAACATGTATCATCAGACTATTCTCTACAGCATGCTGGGGAGTCCCTCCATCCCTGTAATATCCATCCAGAAATTTGCCAGGAAGTCGTTGAACTCACCAAGACCAAGATCTGAAGTCCAGGTAGGGGGCTGCTTGGCTGGCAAACTTGGGGAAAAAGTAACATTTTGCTTCCCAAGATGGCCAAAGGAGAGAAGACACATATTGAAGCTACAGCCTCTATGGGCTGCAAGAATTTCACCTATTGACTGAAAGGGAGTTAGAGGAAGATAGTGGAAAACATGGTCTGGGGAAGACACTAGCAAAGGAAAGCTCCATTTTCTTCTGATGAGAAATCTGTCCTCAGATCGTGCCCTGGACTATTTCAGCCTTTGAAGTCCTTGGAGAAAACTGACTGTAAGTAGCAGCCAGATGTCAACATAATAAAAAAACAAACACAAAACTTCAATCTGGTATAGGGCCCAGATCTGAAGTGGAAGTAGATTTTGCAGGAACAGGTGGAAAAGCAGGATGTCTCACAATAAGAATTCAGCCCCAACGTCACGGACTTAACTACTGCTTGAGACGTACAAAGCAGATGCTCTGCCCTTTAAAATGCTCTGCAACAAGAGTGTGAGGGGACTTTTCTTTGAAGTGCAGGGAAAGAATTCTGTAATGGAGTCAGCAGGCCAAGTGAAAATGGCCCTTGCCTGCTTTGGGACTGGTAGAGCATCGCCATGCCCAATAATGGCATCGACTCACTGAGGTGGCACAGCATTGGTGTGACTTCTCGGTGACAATCACTAGCCCCAAACTACCTTCCTCAGAAAATGGCTCTAGAGGTGGAGCTCAACACTAGGACAGGGTAAATCAAGACCCATGGCTGACCGTGAGCACCTGAACTATAGATCTGTAAGCAGAGAGACATATATTTTACCTGAGCCAGAAGGGATGTACAGGAGTGGAAGCAAGCATAGCACGTTTCTGGGGAAGGAAAAGTACAGCTTGGGAGGACACCACTGATGGACCACACGGGGAGGCAGCAGCTGACCCTATCGTGCCTTCAGCAACACAGTTGGTCTACGCTTACCTGACAACTTTCTCCACCTCATTCCTCCCCACACTGGACTCCACTGTCATACGTAAAGCACGGAAGCATAGGCAAGCCACTGAGGCACCATACTAGTTTTACTCAAAGAGAAAGGAAAGGCATTAGGATTATAATTGTCACAAGAAGGGGCAAGACCCAAACCAGATGCAAGGGTCCCAAAACAGGGAAGGTATCAGGAAGTCTCATGAAAGTACTGAAGCTGCAAACTTTCTGAGATAACAGGAGAGACAGCAGTGAGTGCTAATTTAAGTGGACGAGGATCTTTGAGACTGAAGGGGAGAAGGCAGACAGCTTTCTGGGTTTCTGATGTAAGCAAGATGCTCAGCAGTAAGGATTAGAGTGGTAGACTTCACCAGGCCCTGGGGCCATCCTTGCTCCCTTCAGACCAAGGTGGCCTGCTATATGAAGGTTCCAGAGCCAAGGGTTGGTCCCAGGTGGTAGCCCAGAATACAGCAGAGAAGAAAAAGACCAAGCTCAGACCTTCTGAGCAAGGGAGCTTCCACATCTCTTTTTGGTCTTCCTCACAGTATCCTACTCACAGAAATTACAGACAGTTCTTCCTCTTAAGACCAATCAAGATTGACCTACCTAATATATAGAATATAAAAAAATACAGAACTTTTTGACATTCTCTCCTTTGGAAGTAAAATATACATGATCCAGCTATGGAAGAGGAAGAAGAAAGGCCAAAGACAGGGATCCCTGGCTATCCAAATACATGACACTCTCACTCCAACCTCCTCTGTAACTTATGGGTCACCAGAGCAAGGACTTTCTCCTCAGGAGAAAGGAAGGACCACACCCCCTGTCTCATGCTTAGGAGAAAATACAGCTACCTCAGAGATTCATTCAACTCTGAGGGGGAATTTTCAAGTAAACAAATGAAGCTGGGTCGCACCATTGGAAGGTGGGTAGGAAACATTGGATCAGTAGCGACACATGGGAAGCCCTGTCTGAGGCCTGTGCTCCTCCCCTCCACTCCCACTGGTATCCTTGCTCCAGGAGAGAGAGGGGGCTCTCCCAAACTAGAGAGGTCTGGGCAAGGGGTTAGAGGAAGAGGTCTTTGTCTCATGGTAACCTCCCTCCTCAGCCTCTCGTCCCAGACAATGCTGGCAGTTGGGATTCCTAAAACCAGGAACTCATGGCTCTTGGAAAGAGCAATCTTAATACAAGAAAAATGTGCAAAAGAAAAAAACTTAAATAACTCAATCCAAGCATACAAGATTAATATTCTGTCAGAGCAAGAACACTTGGTTTTGGATTTCTCCCCTCCTCTCCCACCCCCCACCCCCACCTCTGGAATATTCCATCTGCTCAAGTACCCAAGATAAGAGTTACACAGATCAGGGCAGAGGACTGGGAAGGATGAAGAAAGATAAAAGGGAAGGAAGTCACCACTAAAGAAAAAAATAAAAATAAAAAAAGGTGCAAAATTGATTACCTCAGTCCTCCTTTATCTACCCCTGGGCTCCTGGGTTAAAGACATGTGTGCAGCCAAAATATAGTGTAAGGAAGAAAAACCCAACACGTCCCCTTCTTGTCACAAAACCCAAATGTGAGCCTCAGATGGTTCTGTCTGTCCAGAGGGTGCTCCCTCCAGGGAAGGGGGCGGAGCAGGTCAAGAGCACAGTCTCCAGGGCAGCAGAGGTGTGTGGCGGCTGATGGTGGGGGGCTGCTTTCCCGCCCACCAGAGGGCTGCTTTTCCGCTGGTTGGTGGTGCTTCCCATCCCCTTCCCCTCCCCGAAGGCAGACATTATAGCTGGAAGCCCTCCATAGGGGCCTCGGGCTGCTGGAAGATGAATTGCTGTTGCGTTTCATCCACTTGGGGAGCCAGGCTGCTATCATCATCTTCTACGCCAAAATAGTGCTCAATGAGGTCAAAGGCCTTCTGGTAGATTTCCTGGTTCTCATGGCTCTGGAGAAACTCAATTTTATCCAAGCCTATGGTGGCAAGAAGGAAGGAGGGAGAAGAGTAAAGTTTGAGTGCTTTGCCATGGGCTTAAAGTATCTACTTTTCTTTCCCCGAGGTATGTTGGTGTTTACAAACACAAACACAAGTAATACGATCGGCTTCTCTTTGGCCTGGAGAAGGAAAGCAAAGGTCTTTTCCCAAACTATACAGCCCAATGGAAAGAAACCAAAATGCCGGTTATAAACCAGAGGTTCTAGTTCTGATTCTGTGTTTAACTATCTGGATGACCTGGGCAAATCATTAGCATCTCTGAATCTCTTAGAGATAAGTGATAAGTCAGTCAATGTAGTATTTCTTGTTGGAACTTATTGGAACTAAGCTGAAAACATACCTCCTAGTGCCTGATTCTGTTATCAATTCTGGATCTCCATTTTTGCATCTGTACCATACCTACTTACTGGGTAGAGCCTATCAGAAAGAGAACTGATCTATTTCCCCTCAGAGGGAGAAGAAAATGGTGGGTTATAATCTTACATTCAATGATGACATTCCACCCCCACGCTCACATATGTATACTACTACTTTGGAAGTCAGCCGTAGGTAAGTTCTGATCTAAAATCTATCAACTTAAGGCAAGAAGAGGCTGGGGAGAGGGCACATACCATAGGCTTCCTCAATGAGGCCACAGTAGGGATTGACCCCTGAGCCACTGCGCTTGCCCTCTTGTTCTCCAAGTCGAAGGATGTTCTCCAGTCCATTGAGGGCCACTTGCACAATCTTTGAATCCATCACAGTCAGCAAGTCACAGAGGGGTTTGATGCAGCCCAGTGAGACCAGGTACCTGCAGGCCGGAGAACAGTAAGTTCTACATTAATACAGGACATGGGAGGTGCTAGGCAGGTGCTGTGGAACCTGTGGGTCTCCCTCACACTTGTCAACACTTTCAGCAGTCCTCCCTTCAGAACAACCCATCCTTTATCTCAATCTCCCCACCCTCCAGTACTCTTGGTCCAGTTCATTTCCACGTGGAAGGCTACATTAGATTGCTCCTTATCTCTAATCAGTCTCCTTGCTGCAATATCACCACGTAAAAATTTTCAGTTCAAGTTTTATAGGTATGGTAATACAGACCTGCTACAATTTAAATTCTTACCCTCTTTTTCTAGCTTCACCTCTCATTATTCCCTTTCAAGAACACTACATTCTAGTCAAACACGTACAGATCTCCAGATTTCCGATTCTTGTACTTTTCCTGTTCAAAAGACCTTTTACAACCCTATACTTACCTTTTCCCTAGTATTTTATATATATGGAAAATACTCTCTTTTGTAGGCTACAAACTGAGGGCAAGCACTTATCTATTTCCCACCACTCCTCATATTGGTAATGGAAATGAAAATCAAAGAGCACACGCACACAAACTAGCTGTCTATCTGCTTCTCCTAAGTATCACTCTCAAAAATGATTTCCCAGGGCCTCCCTGGTGGTGCAGTGGGTTGAGCACTGCGCTGTGAAGCTGTCTGCAGCCTCTGCAGTGCAGAGCAGGTTTGATTCCTGGCCGGCCAGGTAGATTCGCACATGGTGAGACAGACCTCTCCTGTCCTGCTCATTGCTCCCCTCAGCAGTGCTTTTGGTCCATCTGCCTGTCAGTTCCCTGCTCTGTCTCTGGGGAATTCTCTCACCCTCCTGCGCCTCTGACTGTACCCCAGCTATTGTATAAATAAAAAAATAATAATAAAGCTTTAATAAAATGCATATAAAATTAATATTTAAAAAAAAAAAAAAGATTTCCCAGAGTACCTGCTTCGAATGAGCCATAGCGCGGCTCTCTCACTTGAAAGATAGTTAAGAAGTACATCAATTTAAATTCTCAGGAAGGCAGGAAACAGTAGATGTCTGTGTCATGGTTTTTTATTCTCCAAGAGAGATAAAGATACATAGTCCAAAGGAAACTATTCTAGGTTCTAAAGCCTCTCTAGCTGTTTGCCAATTAAACCCTATTGTACCTGGACCAGGGCAGCCCAACTGCAGGAAAAAGTAGTTTAGAGTTTAGGTGTAAGCCATGAACCCAGAGGGAAGGTACACATATCACTCAAGATGATGGAAAGGGATGTACCTGATCTGCTCAGGGGTTCCTCCTGAAGTGGCATTAGTGATGGCCCATGCTGCCTCTTTCCTTGTACGGAACTCTGCTTTCTGAAGAATTTCAATCAATACAGGAAAGATGTTTGCATCTATGACAGCCTAAGAACAGAATTTGGGGGAGAAGGAAAAAGTAAGTTGCTCAGGAAGAGAAAGCAAAACCAGTCCAAAAATCAGCTAAAATTTAAACATCTTCCCCTTTCGATAAGTCCTTCTTTGCTTTTCCCATATAGGAAAAAGCACACACTAACCCTAACTTATAAAGGGAAATATTCTTTCTTCTAGTAGCAAATATCCCACAACCTTTCCTATCCTTCCCATCTGCCACTGCCCCACCTCCTTGTTCTACCTGTATTTGAGCCCTGTTGCCAGCAGTGATATTTGAAATGGTCCAGCAAGCTTCCTTCCGGATTGACTCCTTTGGGCTACTCAGCAAATGTAAGAGGCAAGGGAGGGCAGAACAGTTAAGAATGACCTGGAACACCAAAAGTACAGGTGACAAAAAAAAAAAATTAGATAAACAACTTAATCAAAATAAAAAACTTTTGCATATCAAAAGATACATCAACAAAGTATCAAAAATTAACACCCAGAATATATTGGGTTGTCAGAAAAGTCATGACATATTTTTTCTTTGAAAACATAGAAAAAAATGCATCATGACTTTTCCAACAACCCAATATATAAAGAACCTTTGCAACTAAAGAAGTTAAACAACCCAATTTAAAAAGTGGGACTTGGGGCCTCCCTGGTGGCACAAGAGGTTAAAATGCAGCACTTGGAAGCTATCCGCAGCCACTGCAGCAGGAGTTCGATTTCCAGCCAGAGAGGTGACCCACATGGTGGAGCAGACCTCTCCTGTTTGGCCCACTGCTCCCCTCCGTAGTGTATTTCAGTACATCTGCTTGTTCTGCTCCCCACTCTGTCTCTGGTGAATCCTCTCAGGCCCTGCATCTCTGGCCTGCACCCCAGCTCTTGTATGCATAAATAAACCTTTAAAAACAAAAACAAAACTACGTGCTTAAAAATAAATAAATAAATAAATAAATAAAAAGTGGGACTTGAGTAGATTTCTCCAAGAAAGATATACAGCTGGATAATAAGTTCACAAAAAGATGTCAAACATCAACGATTAAGGAAATACAAAATTATGTTGAGATAACACTTTATACTTTTAGGGTGGCTACTGTAAAGGAAAAAACAAAACAGAATATACACCATTATGCAAAATGGTACAATGGTTCCTTAAAATACTAAACATAAAATTACCAGGAGGGAAAACAGTAATGATCCAGTAAGCACACTTCTGTGTATATAATCCAAAGAGTTGAAAGCAGGGTCTCCTGATACTGGAGGACCACTGTTCACTGTGGCATTATTCACAATAGTCAAAAGATGAAAACATGAATGGTGTCCATCAACATAAGAACAGATAAACAATGTGTTCTACATATATAGTGGATTATTATTCAGCCATAAAAATGGAACGAAGGTCTGACACGCGCTACAATTTGGATGAAACTTGAAGATATTATGCAAAACAAAATGAACTGGTACAAAGGCCAAATATATATGATTCCACATACAAGGTACCTAAAGTGGTTAAACTCATTCTTTTTTTTTTTTTAAAGATTTATTTATTTATTTATACAAGCACTGGGTACAGTCAGAAGAGCAGGAGGGTGAGAGAATTCACCAGAGCCAGAGTGGAGAGCAGAGCAGGCAGACTGATGAAGTACACTGAGGGGAGCAGCGGGCGGCAGGAGAGGTCTACGCCATGTGGGACCCTTGCCCAGTGGCCAGGGATTGAACCGGCGCTGCAGAGGCTGTGGGCAGCTTCGCAACCCAGCACTCAACTGCTGCACCACCGGGGAGGCCCAGGTTAAACTCATTCTTAAGAAACAGAGAGAAAATAATATGTGGCTGTTGGGGGCGGAGGGGAAGGAGAAATGGGGATTTATAATTTAATGGGCAGAGTTTCAATATGAGATGAGAAAGTTCTGGATCTGGAAGGTGGTAATGGCTGAATAAGAATGTGAATATACTTGATGCCACACAACTGTACACTTAAACATTGGTTATGACGGTAAATTTTATGTTATAAATGTTTATACCTGTGTGTGCACGTGAGTACGCTTGCACGTGTGTGCATACACACACACTGCCCCAGAAAGTGTGTGTGTTTTGAGTGAAATTACTTGTAAAAAATTTGTCAAGAATCTTACAGAATTATGCCAATTACTCAAGACCCAAAAAATACCCAGATCTCCAGCCTTTGAAAAGAGGAACCCTATTTGCTGTGCCCTCACTAGAGATGTTATTAACATGAGATTAATAGGAGCTAGTGTCCATGGAGCCTATAGATGTTAAGAGGCTAGGATGAGGCTCTTAAAGAGACCAAGACCCCAAAATCATTAGCAATCATCTTACGATCTCCCAAGGAGTAAATCAAGGTATACGATCTAAAGTACCCAATGAATGATGATTTACATCCAATTATAGAAGAAATGAAAGAAAACCAAATTGCCTACGATCATATTATAAAGAGGCAGAGCTGGAATTTCTGATTTAAGCCCACGTTTTCTTTCCTGCACCATGCTGCCTGCCAGCAGGAAGAAAGCCTTGATAGGGAAGGGTTTTTGTCTGTAGAGTTTTCTCCTCCTTACCTGGGTCTGGATGTCATCTCCGGTGACGATGTTACCTACGGCTCTCAGGGCAGGAGAAGCCACTTTGTAATCATTGTGCCTACAGAGGAGGTAGATCTGATCAGTAGAGAGCCTAGTATACCTATACCATATTAGCCCGCTGACCACCAAGGCTGGCAGCATTCCCTTGGCTCCAAACCTTTGGATAGGGCAGCTGACTGCAGTTTTCTGAACATTAAGTAGTTTCAGAATCTATGCCCTTTCTAACCCAGACCACTCACATTAGAAGCTCTACCAATCTCCGGCAGACTCCAGAGTCTATGACCGCCTGTATCTTTTCATTGGGGCCATCGGAGAGATAAGAAAGGGCCCAGCAAGCATCTGCCAGCAGGTCTGAGTCGCTGCTGAAGAGTAGGCGAGACAGCACAGGCAAACAAGGGGAGACCTGTAGGGAGCAAAGTGAGAGGGATTTAAAAGGGGACAGGATGACAGCAGCTCCACCACTAGTGGAGTTCTAACTAGTTCTCACTAGTTCTAACATTGCTGCTCCACCCCTCCAAGTTATTCTAAGCCCTGGTGGGTTCTACTACAGTAAATGCTTAGGCCTACCTTTTCACATTACCACCCAGGCACATGAATTCACCTACTTCAGTGACAATCACCTCTTTCAGCTTCCCATGGACCGAGACTCGGAGGTTCTCCCAAAGACTTAAACCCCCATATAAAAATGCCTGCATATAAGCAACTTGCCTACACTCAGTTCTCTTATCACTCAGTTCTCTCACCTTTGCAAATTCTGGGGGCGGGTTCTTCCCTCGGCAGAGGTTTGACAGGGCCCAGACTGCATTCCGTGTCATTGTCAGTCGTGTGGACTTGGTAAGGAGTCTGAAGGAAACAACAAAACCAGATCCTAAGCTGAGACTCCCTTGGTATAGGGCTGCTGCCAAAGAGCCCCAGGAGAAATCTAGTCAGACCACAAAGATTGTAGCAGCCTCATTATTCCCTCCCATCTAGACCCAAGTTGAATGAGTATTTCTGGGCCAGCAGGCCACCCGAAAACTTCCAGAGATTAAGTTAATCTGTGGCTAATTAACACCATGGCAGTAGGAATTGATTTTCTGTGAAGGGTGCAAGAAACCAAGTGGTAGCCTATGAGATTCTGGTCAATGAAGATCAGTTCATCCACCTGTTTTGGTCTAGCTGTAGTTCTATCTGCGGGCAGGGAGAAGGCTCCAGATGATCTTTCATAGAGTCTTTATCTGTGGTTTACAAGGGAGTTTAATGTGCCCATGTGTAAACCCCTAGCAAATCAATGGATTCTGTAGAGAAGATTGGATTTTTCTAGATGGTTCCAGAAAGCTATCCCTTACTTCTCTGGCTCAACAATGATGTACAGATGACCAACATGAGATTTTACAATACGATGAAGAGAAGAAACACAAGATTCTTTCAGTACAGGCCAGTGGCACAATCTTCTTACTGTCAAAAGATATCTATCTTTTACTTTGGGAATCAGAATGCAAGTTTAGCATTTTTGTATTTACTCATCATCTTAAGGTAAGCTGCCCCCAAGAGAACTGCCACAAGGCTATCTTACAGAGGCAGATGCAGGTGATCCTGGTACAGATGATTATAATTACTCACGTTAACAAAGGATTAAGGATGGAACAATTCAAGACGTAATCTCGGCAAACGGAGCTGTCTCCAGCTATGTTTCCCAGTGCCCAGACTGCCTGAAAAGGGATGATTAAACTGTTACCCACAGAGCCTAGTAGCCTCTGTGAATAGTTTCTGCTCACAACTGCAGAGTGAGCACTCACCAATAACCAGGACTAAAACCAAAACAAGGCCTGAGACACATTCAACACACTCAAGTACCCTTCTTATTGGCATCCTTATAAAGTACCTGCTTTATGGGGCCCTTTCCTCTGAGTTTCTGGTTCAGTGGGGAAGACAAGCCCATATATATTCTGTAGCCACAGAAGCTAAACCAAGACTCCCCTCCTCCCACCTCTCAAAAAAGGGAGAAAGTGCATTCTGTGGCTTCATAGTACTGACCTCATAAGTAGTAGTGGAGAAAAAAATCCCATTACCTCTCTACTTCTATCCAGCAACAAAAATACAGTGGAAGAAATGGAAGATGTCTTTGCTCTATGATCTGTAGGTACTAAAAAATACTATCTCTCACACTAACAACCAGTTCTTTGACACCAATTGTGTGTGCCCAACAATTCTATTTAATTCTGACTCAACTCAACTCCTAAGAGTTAGTGCAGATCTTACAAGATAAAAAGGGCCCACTTTAGACCTGCGAAAGATTACTTCAGATACCGACTGCAAGTCCCAGGAACCACCAACTGGCTATAAAAGTACAGGTTCTTTCAGTCCCCTCCACAGGTCCCATAATTTATTTTTTTTAATTATTTTGTAAAGATTTATTTATTTATGCATACAAAAACTGGGGTACAGGCCAGAGGTGCAGGGGGGTGAGAGGATTCACCAGAGATAGAGTGGGGAACAGAACAGGCGAAATGGCTGAAATACACTGCTGAGGGGCACAGCGGGCGAGGCAGGAGAGGTCTGCAGGGCCATGTGGGTAGCTCCCTAGCCAGGGATCAAACTCATGCTGCAGTGGCCACGGACTACTTCATTGGCTGCATCTTAACCCCTTGCGCCACCAGGGAAGCCCCACAGGTCCCAAAATTTAATAGAACAATTATAATCAGGAAAATTTACTTACAATTTTACCAGCTTATTATAATAGATGCAACTCAGGAAGAGCTAAATGAAAGAGAGGTATAGGGCAAGGTATGATGGGGTGAGGAATGGGGTGGTGCAGAACTTCCATGTCCTTTCCAGACATACCGCATCAATGTATTCCCCAACCCAGAAGCTGCTGGAATCATCTCTAGCCCCCTAATATCCTTTGGGAGGCTGAGGTGGAAGGTTGAGGTTGAGAGTTCCCACCCTGTAATCTTATGTTTGGTCTTTCTGATGACCAGGCCCTCATCCTTAGGCTATCTAAGGCCCTATCGCAAATCATTTCATTATATCATTGCAGTGTATTTCAAAAGGGCCCATTATGAAAGACTGAGGGTCTCCCTGGTGGCCTAGGGGTTAAGTCTCAAGACGATCACTGCTGTGGCCTGAGTTCAACCCCCAGCCAGGGAGCTAATCCACATGGTGCAGCAGACCTCTCCTGTCCTGCCCACTGCTCCCCTTAGCAGTGTATTTCAGTAAAATCCACCTGTTGTGCTCCTTACTCTGTCTCTGGTGACTCCTCTCACCCCTTGCACTCTGGCCTACACCCCAGTTCTTCTATGCAAAAATAAATAAGTAAAATAAACTTATTTATTGACTTGGCTTCTTAAGAAAAAAAAAAAAGACTGAGAAAATTGCAAGGTTTTCAAGATCTTTACCAGGAACTGGGGACAAAGGTGAAATAATCTTTATGGTACCACAGAAAATTAAGCCAAATTGAAGCATTACCTGTTCCTGTACATCTTCAAAATCTGAGTTAAGCAGCTCTATAAAAATGGGGACAGCCCCTGCTTCAATGACAATTTTGGTCTGCTGGGAGGTTCCAGAGGCAATGTTTGTTAGTGCCCAGGCAGCTTCAAACTGAAAGTGAGATTAAACCATGATTAAGTGTTGATTCTAGCCAGAAATACCATGCCTACCAGCTGGCTCATAACAGTAAGTTTCGTCCCCCTGCCTGAAAACCAACCAACCAACAAATACAAGTCTTTTCTTCTCCCTGATTAAGATGGAAGGAAGAGGAACCAGCAGTGATGTAACACAATGGGAAGACAGAATCGGGCTTCAAAGGCCGCAGGCCCAGTCCTGTACTACACAGCACCTGTGAGTTCTCTGGCAAGTCCTGAGCTTCCCTTTCTTCATTTCTGAATGGACCACCCTAAAGTCCCTTTTCAGTTTAGTTTCTAGTAAATTACAGTGGATTTACTCATCACATTTCTGAGAAGAGAGATCCAGGAAGGTTAAATGATTTACTTCAGGTCACACAGGTATTAGACATAGACTAGATCTCTGATTTATAATTGACTGAGCAATATGTCACATTCTGGTATTTTTCCCTTGAGATTGCTTTAGGAAAAAGATTTTGGTTCCCTTATTTGAGACGAAGACCTCCAAGGCAACTGGTAGCTTTCCTTAAATGTTTCCTGTTATTACTTGCCTATTCCTGAGAGATGTACCTGCAGAAATATCCTACTGCAATTTCTTGGAAGGAGGTCCTTCACCTGGTACCCGTCCACCCCAGGCTCACCTGTAATGTACAATTCTCATTCCTCTTCAGAAACTCCACAAACCGATCCACGACTCCTGGAGTGTTGATGACTTCATCAATTGGAGGACTAGGCTCTGAGAGAGGAAAAAAGAGAAAGGAGAGGAAAAGTCAGAGAGGCTTTGACGGATTCATTCACTGGGATCAGCCTACCTTCTTCCCTAGATACTCCTGACCATGCTTATAAACATTCCTACTCCCTTCTGGTGAGGTGGTTTTAACAACAGCTGATCATCTTTGACCATTACACTATAGTTAGGATCTAAAGAATAAAGCCATACTATCTTGAGGGTGCTAACCTTTGATTCACTGAACCTAAGCAAGTCATAAAGGAAGGGAGACAAGGGATGAGTAACTCTAGTCTAAACATTTCCCCTCGAAGATCATAATTTTTTTCTTGGAAGGACTGCTTAATATACCAAGGCAAGAAGTATTTTCTGAGACAATGACCAGTGAGCTTATAACAATGCCTGACACACTGTAATGTTCAAAATGCTCAATAAATGTTAACTATTGTGACAAAAAGGGGAGGGGACATTATTCCTATCATACATCAAATATTTATAGAGCATGCACAATGTGTCACAGCTGTATGAACTGAGAACACAACAGTGAATAAAACCAAAAGTCTCTGCCCTTATAGAACTTATACCCTAGTGAGAAACATTCCATTATGTCAGAAGGAAGTGAGTGTAATGGGAAAAACAAAATAGGTAAAATAAGAACAAACAATGTAAAGAGATTAAAAATGTACAATATAAAGAGATTAAAAATGCTGAGGGCTGGGGTATGGCTTGCAATTTTAGATAAGGTGTTAGGGTAAGATTTTTTTTCGTTGAAGATTTATTATTATTATTATTTTTTTAAAGAGGTTTTTTTAAGATTTATTTTTATTTATTTACTTATTTTTTAAAGATCAGTATTCTTTTTTTTTTTAAGATTCATTTTTTTTTTATTTATTTATACAAGCACTGGGTACAGTCACAAGCGCATGAGGGTGAGAGAATTCACCATAGCCAGAGTGGGGAGCAGTGCAGGCAGAAGGACCGAAGCACACTGCTGAGGGGAGCAGCGGGCAGCAGGGGAGTTCTGTGCGCCATGTGGGACCCTCACCCGGTGGCCAGGGAACAAACCGGCGCTGCAGAGGCTGCGGGCAGCTTCACAACCCAGCGCTCAACTGCTGCACCACAGGGGAGGCCCTGAAGATTTATTATTATTTTTAAAAATTTATTTATGCATATAAGAACTGGGGTGTAGGCCAGAGGTGCAGGTGTGTGTGTGTGTGTGTGTGTGTGTGTATACCAGAGACAGAGTGAGGAGCAGAACAATTGGGTCTACTGAAATACACTGCTGAGGGGAACAGCAGGCTGCGCCATGAGGGTTGGCTCCCTGGCTGGGGACTGAACTCATGCCACAGTGGCTGTCGATAGATTTATAGCACTGAGACTTTAACTCCTGTGCCACCAGGGTGGCCCCGCTAGGGAAAGTTTTATTGAGAAGGCAGGACTTGATCAGAGAAGTGAGGAGGTTGTCACATAGTATCTGCAAGGCAGAGGGAACAGATCTCCAATAGACAAAGAAAAAATATGTCTGGTTTATCCAAGGAACATCAAGGCCAACAGGGCTAGAGCAGAACGAGTGAAGGGGAGTAGTTAATGATGTCAGTGAGAAGACTCAAGAGGCTAACTCATGTAGGAACTCTCTGGGGGAGGACTAGGCCTTGTACCTTTGGAGAGCAGTTTCCGGAATTTCTGTGTGGTTGCTAATTGCAGGTCAGAATCATCAGAAAAGAGCATCTCCACCATCTCTCTTGTGATTACACTCTCCTAGAACATAAAACAGGTTCAAACCTTTGCAAACCAACACCAGAGTGAGGTATGAGCACATCACCTTGCTTGACATCCTGCTTTCTACAGACTGGAGGGCAAGAAGATGGGATAACAAACAGGCTCAGAAGAAGGTGTTTAATGCATGGCTACAACACGACAGGGCATCTGAAAGTGATTCCTGACCTGCGACAACCAACCAAATGCTTCCCCTTAGGTATTTCCTTAGGTATCTCCTTGCTGATTCCTTATGCTGACTAGCTACAAGAGGGCCCATGGAAGAAAGAACCTGCATAGTCTCAGCAGCGAGTTTCCAGAGGATATGGACTGTCTAATTTCTGTTCTGTAGAAGTGGTACTTCCCAAGCTTAGTCGAAGCACAGGCAAGGGCCTTACCCCAGTGGTAGAGCTCACATAGGAATCCATGAGGAGACTATCGAACATGGCAGCTTCTTCATTAATCAACTCCACATTTCTCCGTTTAAAAAGCTGAAAATAAAGAGATAGTGGTTAAGGGCCTCCCCTGGTGGCGCAGCGGTTGAGCGCTGGGTTGCGAGGCTGCCTGCAGCCTCTGCAGCGCTAGTTCGACCCCCGGCCACCGGCGAGGGTCCCACAAAAAAAAAAAAAAAAAAGGATAGTGGTTAAGACCACTCACTGAAACAAAGAAAATAAACAATGACCCAATGTAACTGTCAAGGAAATGCCAGCATTGGTGAGAAAATGCCACGTTTAATATACTAACATAGAAAGATACTTAAGGGCTTTACTTTGTTACTTTCTAATTGTTTACATTTTTTTAAAGAGCATTTTTATAAGCAAAATGGTCTTTAAAGCTATCTATGCCCCTGTGTATGCAAGGTGGTGGGTATAAAAGGTTTTGGAGGAAAGGAATAATGGTAAAGCAAGAGGGTGGGCAGAAGCAGGTTATGTGACTGTGTCTAGATCTGGGCAGGGCGCCAATTAGATGTGTGGTAGAGCACAGGTGAAGAGACTTTAATATAGACTCAGACTTTAATATAGTCTCCTATGGAGACTTACAATGAATGGGCTCAAGAAACAAATATGGCAGCAGATGAAACTCTTATTAAAGGGTCAGGCTTGGAATTGGGCCTTGAAAGCCAGGCTTAACACTGAATATAGGGTGAAGAAGAGATGAAGCAACAAGGGCCTAGATCTAAAATGCCATGTTAAAGACAAAGATGATGTCTAATTTATCCTAAATAATGAAAAAGGAATAAAGGGTTGGTTCTCTCTCAAAGTTTTCAACATTTCTTTACAACAAAGAAAGCTGGATGAGTGGCCCACAAAGTTAAGCTACTTTCCGAAGGGGAAGGGGAAGGTGTAAGATGGAGGCCAACCATCATAGCTGGATTGTTTCCCTGAACAATATGTTTCAGAACATTCCACTTGTTGCTCCCGTTAACCCACTTGTTGCTCCCGTTTCTGTTTCCGGAGCTGAATGCCCTCCTCTTCTCTTCTTCGTCTCATTTCTTCAGGGTTTAGGGCATTATTCTTATAGCTTTTCATTCGATAATTGTCTTTCCCTGGGCTCGCCATGGTCTCTAGAAGAAGGGAAAATACAAATACATTGGCAAAGGCTCTTAAGAAGACAGCATTTCTTTTTCACTGGGCCTGTGTCTCTACCCATCCTCCCATACTTGGAGGGGATCAGACCTCCAGAAAGGAGGCCTAATAATCTCAATAAGTGCAAGTGATCTCAACAAATGCAACACACACAACCTCCATTAATCATAAAAACTTGTTAAGGGTGCTTTATAGCAATTAATATAAGCATAGTAGTCAAATGTGGACTCCAGAACCAGATTATGTGGGTTTCAAATGCTTCCATTCATTAGTTATACAACATCCAAAAAGTTACTTTAACTTCTGTGCCTCAGGAACTCATTTCTAAAATGGAGACACAGGGCCTCCCCGGTGGTGCAACGGTTGAGCGCTGGGTTGCCAAGCTGCCCGCAGCCTCTGCGGTGCTGGTTCGATCCCTGGCCACAGGGTGAGGGTCCCACACAGCGCGCAGACCTCTCCTGCCGCCCACTGCTCCCCTCAGCAGTGTATTTCGTCTGTCTGCCTGTCCTGCTCTCTGCTCTGGCTCTGGTGAACTCTCTCATCCTCCAGCGCTTCTGACTGTACCCAGTGCTTGTATAAATAAATCTTTAAAAAATAAATAAATAAAATGGAGATACAAGAGTTCCAATTTCATAGAGATATTATCAAATAGGTTAATATATATGAAATACTCACAATTATGCTTAACATATGGTGAACGCTCACAAATTATGATCATTTCCATGACAAATGATACCTGCTGTATGCTTTTTCCAATATATCAAATATATTTAATCTAGGTAGGTGAAATACATTATAGTATATTCAGTTCAGTGGAATACCATCTATCTTTCTTTAATGCTCCATATAGTCAGCATCTATTTTTTAAATTAAAAAAATTACATAACATTTGATATATACAAAAAGATGAAACCTATATTAAGTTACCAAGCAAAACAACACAAAAAACCCACCACCAAATCTAAGAACTAAGATGTTATCAATATGCCTGAATCTACTTGCTGGCTCTTCCCCACATCCCAAGCTCCCCAAGCCCACTCCAACACCAACCAAAAGAAAAACTGCTATCCTGAGTTGCCATTATCTTTGCTTCTATTTTTATTAATCACATATATAAATACACATACACACACACTACCCCTAAATATTTCACTTAGCATAAAGTCCTTAATGTTCCTTCATGTGGTCGTAAATGGCAGAGTTCCTTCCTTTTGTGTGTGTGTGACTGAATAATTCCATTGTTTAAACATACACCATATTTTCTTTCTCCATTCATCTGATGGACACTTCATATACAAGAGTTCCCTTTCTCCAAATTTTCACCAATACTTATGTCTTGTCTTTTTGATAATAGTCTTTCTAACAGGTATGAGATGCTATCTCGTGGGTTTGATTTGCATTACCCTGATGATTGGTGATGCTGAGCACCATTTCATGGACCTGTTGGCCATTTGTGTTTGCGTTGGGAAACAATGTTGATTCAGGGCCTCCCTGGTGGCGCAAGGTGTTAAGACAAAACCTATGAAGCTGTTTGCAGCCTCTGCAGCATGAGTTTGATTCCCGGCCCCCGCCAGCCAGCGACCATCCCACATGGCACAGCAGACCTCTCCGGCCTTGCCCGCTGCTCCCCTCAGCAGTCTACTTCAGTCAGTCTGCCTGTTCTGTTCCCCACTCTGTCTCTGGTGAATCCTCTCACCCCCCCCACACCTCTGGCCTGAACCCCAGCTCTTATATGCATAAATATTTTTAAAAATGTCGATTCACACCCTTTGCCTGTTTTTTTTTTTTTTTTAATAGAGGCATGTTTTTATTTATTTATTTATTATATTTGTTTGTTTGTTTTGTTTATACATGCACTGGGTACAGTCAGAAGCACAGGAGGGTGAGAGAATTCACCAGAGCCAGAGCGGGGAGCAGAGCAGGCAGAAGGACCGAAGTACACTGCTGAGGGGAGCAGCGGGTGGAAGGAGAGGTCTGTGCACCATGTGGGACCCTCCTCTGGTGGCCGGGGAGCAGCCGGGGATTGAACCGGCGCCGCAGAGGCCGCGGGCAGCTTCGCAACCCAGCGCTCAACCGCTGCGCCACTGGGGAGGCCCACCCTTTGCCTGTTTTTGATTATCTTTCTTTTGTTACTGAGTTTTATGAGTTCTTTATATATTTTGGTTACTAACCTTTTATCAGATATATGGTTTGCAAGTGCTTTTTTTAAAAAAAAAAAAAAGATTTATTTATTTATGCATACAAGAGCTAAGGTACAGGCCAGGGACGCGGGGGGTTAGAGGATTCACCAGAGACAGAGTGGGGAACAGAAAAGGCAGGCTGACTGAAATACACTGCTGAGGGGAGCAGTAGGTGAGACAGGAGAGGTCTGCTGCGCCATGTTTGTTGCTCCTTGGCTGGCCGGGTATTGAACTCGTGCTGCAGAGGCTGCGGATTGCTTCATAGTGTGGTGCTTAACCCCTTGTGCCACTAGGGAGGCTCTTTTTTTTTCTTTTTTTTAAACCATTTCATTAGGTTACCTTTTCATTTGACTGTTTCTTTTGCTGTGCAGCTTTTAAGTTTTCTAGTTCAGATTTTCTAGTTCGATGTAGTCCCACTTGTTTATTTTTGCTTTGATGTTGTATTTTGGGGGTCATATCTCAAAAATCATTGCAAAGACCCAAGGTCTATTTTCCTATGCTTTCTTCTACAAGTTTCATGTTTTTAGGTCTTATTATTATGTCTTTATTCCATTTTGAGTCAGTAATAGCTTAGTCTTGACTTTCCAGAGATTCTGCAACAGTCTACAGATCATACCTTAGAGAAGAGCCGCTCTAGAGAATAATTACTGAGTTTTAGGCAGGTAAATGTTAAACTTGAACACTTAGCACCATTTTGTCTTCTAACGTAATGCCAACTTACACTAGTTTAGCAATATATGATAGGTTCCTATTGATGTTCAGTCCTACTGCTTGCAATTCTCATTTGTGTCAATTACTAAGTAAAATAAGGCATTTCATTGAGATAATGATGTATTACACAGATTACTAAAGAGGTTAGATTTCATGTTGATTAGCCATCCATATGTTTCTCCTGTGAAAAATGTTTGAGTATTTTTCAGTTGAATTATTTTTCCTTTTCTTATTGATTTGGAGAAAGGGAATCTTCGTATACTGTTCAATTTTCACTTTCTGGAGCTCTTTAACAAGTTCTTTTTTTTTTTCTTTTTAAGAAAGATTTATTTATTTATGCATACAAGAGCCGGGATATAGGCCAGAGACGCGGGGGGGTGAGAGGATTCACCAGAGACAGAGCGGGGAGCAGAACAGGCAGACTGAGTGAAATACACTGCTGAGGGGAACAGCAGTAGAGACAGGAGAGGTCTGCTGCGCTATGTGGGTTGCTCCCTGGCCGGCCAGGTATTGAACTCATGCCGCAGAGGCTGTGGATTGCTTCACAGTGCAGTGCTTAACCCCTTTTGCCACCAGGGAGGCCCATTCTTTAACAAGTTCTTAATTATAATGTAGTTAAATTGTTCTTTTATACTTAGCTTTTCCTCACTGTTTTGTTTAATAAATCCTTTCATGTTCCCAAGGTCAGAAAGATAACCTCTCGTCTTCTAGAAGTTTTAGAGATTGCCTTTTACATGCAAGTATTTCATCTACGTGGACTTTATTATATGTCCATAATTCCCTGTGAATAATCAACTGTCCTAGCATAGTTTACTAAATAGCCTTCCTTTCTTACTATCCCATTCCTGTCAATTTGTGGAAACAAAAAACTTAAATAATACAGTTGGAGGATGCATACTTCCTGATTTCATAACTTGATTCAAAGCTACAGTAATCAATGCAAGTGGTACTGGCACAAGGATAAACATATAGATCAATGGAATAGAATGGGGAGTCCAGAAATAAATTCACATATCTATGACCAGCCAACAGATTTTTTGACAGGGTTCTTAAGTCCATTCATGGGATAAGAATACTCTCTTCAACAAATGTGCCAGAAGACTAGATTTCTGGGTCCAAAAGAATGAAGCTACCCTACACCACATACGAAATTTAACTCAAACTTATCCAACAATTTAAATATACAAGTTAAGGCCAATAAACTCTTAGAAACGGGTAAATTTCTATGATCTTAGATTTGATAATGGATTTTTAGCTGTAACATCAGAAGCACAATAAGAAGGTGAAAAGACAACTTACAGAATGGGAGAAATTATTTCCAAATTAATTTCTGATAAGAGTTTAATATCCAGAATATGTAGAGAATTTTTACAGCTCCATAAACAACTCAACTTTAAAAACAGGCAAAGAATTTGAAGAGACATTTCTCCAAAGAAGAAACATGATGACAAACATGCACATATGAAGCTGCTCAACAGTCTTGGCAAATGCAAATCAAAACCACAAGAGATACCACTTTATACCTACTAGAATGCTTAATAAAAACAAAACAAAAAATAATCCACAAGTGTTGGCAAGATGTGGACAAACTAGAACCAGTGCACTGCTGGTGGGCATGTAAAGTTGTGCAGCCTCTGAAAAACAGTTCCTCAAAACATTAAACATAGTGGGGTAGTGGGAAAAATGAAACACTAAATTACCACATACTCATACTTAGTGTAAGGATGACTCTTGAACAAAATGAAACAAAATGCATGTATATACTAATATGTGGGATTTCAGTAAGTGCAGTGCAGTGCAGTACTATAAATGTATTTTCTCATGTTTCTCCCCATCATTTTCTTTTCTCTAGTTTATTGTAGAATACAGTATATAATATACAATATAATACACTCTGTATGTAATATACAGTGTATAATATACAAAATATGTGTTAATCAACCATTTTTTTGTTTAAGATTTATTTATTTATTTAGATAAGCGCTGGGTACAGTCAGAGGTATGGAAGGGTGAGAGAATTCACCAGAGCCAGAGCAGAGAGCAGAACAGGCAGACTGACAAAGTACACTGCTGAGGGGAGCAGCGGG